AAAACACCGCCTGCATAAAGCATATCTAAATGACAGCAGCTCAAGTTTAAAGAAAACTGCCTTCCTCAACATTCGCAGGATTGTCCAGCAGAGACTCAGAGTCATGCAAGACGCCTGGCTGTGTGCAAAAGCTGAGGAGATTCAATCCTACGCTGACAGTAACAACACCAAGTGCCTCTATTATGCACTCAAGCAGGTCTATGGTCCGCAACACTCAGGAACTTCACCTCTCCTGAATTCAGATGGAACAACACTCCTCACGGAGAAGGACAAAATACTTGCAAGATGGGTCGAACACTACAGCGCGGTCCTCAACCGGCCATCATGCATAAATGAGGAGGCAATTGCGAGACTGCCTCAAGTTGAAATAAACCAGTCCCTGGCTGTTCTACCATCCATTGAGGAAACCAGCAAAGCCATAACACTCCTCTCATCAGGCAGAGCTCCAGGGTCCGATGCCATTCCAGCAGAAATCTACAAGGCTGGAGGGCCTCGCTTAGTCGAGAAACTGACCGACCTCTTCCAGTCTCTGTGGAAATTAGAAGCCGTTCCCAAGGAGTTCAAGGATACTACTATAATCAATCGATATAAAAGGAAAGGCAATCGGCAGGACTGCGACAACCATAGAGGCATCTCCATACTATCAGTCGCTGGCAAAATCTTGGCAAGAATCCTCCTGAACCGCCTAATTGTCCACCTAGACCAGGGTCTGCTACCTGAGAGTCAGTGTGGTTTCAGAAAAGACCGCGGAACCACTGACATGGTATTTACTGCCCGGCAGTTACAGGAGAAATGCCAAGAACAAAATGTTGATCTATATATGGCTTTCGTTGATCTAACAAAAGCATTCGACACAGTCAGCCGGGAGGGCCTATGGAAAATCATGGCCAAGTATGGGTGTCCAGACAAGTTCATTGGCATCGTGCGCAATCTCCATGATGGCATGATGGCCAGCGTCAGAGACCAGCAAGAACTCTCTGATCCGTTCCCAATCACAAACGGGGTGAAGCAAGGCTGCGTTTTAGCGCCAACGCTCTTCAGCATGGTGTTTTCTGCCATGCTGCAAAACTCATTCCAGAACCACAACACTGGGATTAACTTCATCTACCGTTTTGACGGTGGGCTATTCAATCTGCGGAGGATGCAAGCCAAAACTAGAGTGGAGGAAATCACTGTTCGAGAAATTTTGTTTGCTGATGACTGTGCTCTGGCTGCTGACTCAAATAAAGATCTACAGGACAGTATGGACCACCTCTCCTTAGCCTGCAACAACTTTGGCCTAACAATCAGCACAAAGAAGACTGAAGTCCTATACAAACCTGCTCCTGGGAAACCCTACACTGAGCCAACCATCTTTGTGAATGGGCAAAATCTTTCAGCCGTTGACAAGTTTACTTACCTTAGTAGTACACTGTCTCGCGCTGTGCACATAGATGATGAAGTTAACATCAGGATTGTCAAGGCCAGTGCAGCCTTTGGACGTCTACGTGACTCGGTATGGGAAAGGACTGGAATCAAGCAGGAGACAAAACTGAAGGTCTACCGGGCTGTTGTCTTACCAACTCTTCTGTATGGGTACGAAGCCTGGACAGTTTACCAGCGCCATGCCAAGAAATTGAATCATTTCCACTTGAGCTATCTGAGGAAACTGCTGAGGATCAAGTGGCAAGACAGAATCCCTGACACGGAAGTCCTCAGCAAGGCAAATATCCCCAGCATCTACACCTTGCTTGCGAAGGAACAGATTAGATGGACTGGCCACGTGACCAGAATGCCCTACGCGAGACTTCCAAAACAAGTCTTCTTTGGCGAGTTGAGGAATGGCAAGCGAGCACAAGGTGCCCCCAAAAAGCGCTACAAGGACACCCTTAAAGCTTCCTTTAAGAGCTTTGGATTCGACCTGAAAAGCTGGGAATCCCTAGCACAGGACCGACCTGCCTGGAGAAGAAAAGTACAGGACGGTGCAGTCCTCTGTGAGAGTAGGAGACGCTCCTGTGCTATCTTGAAGAGGCAGCAGCGCAAATCTACCAAGGAAGGACGTGTGGCTGCACCTCAGAGCTCTACATCCTCCCTGACCTGTCCAGTGTGCCACAGGGAATTCCTGGCTCGGATTGGCCTCTTCAGCCATCTGCACACTCATCAAAACGCAAAAAAATGACAAACGTGCCATGGTCATCATCAACTTTGATGGACGAACAAGAAGAAGAAGATGTGAGTCGCTGTATGTGTGTACGTCGAAATGTGTGTGTAATTCCATGTGTGTGTATCTCAAGTGCATGTCTATGTGTGTGTGAGTCCATATGTGTGTGTGTGTAAGTCGATGTGTTTGTGTGTTAGTCGCTGTGTGTGCATGCCTCTATGTTAGTCAGTGTAACTCCATTTCTTTGCGTGTCTGTAGGTCCATGTGTGCGTCTTAGTCCATGCATGTGCTTTAATGACCTGCTCAAGGCCTATGACACCATTAGTAGGCCTGGGTTCTGAGTTGATCTTCGTGCTTTCCGAGTCCCTGACCCACTGTTCACCATCCTTAAGGACCTTCATGATGGTGAACGGCCCCACGTCTAACTACGTGGCTGTGAGTCAGAGCCATTCCCTCTACACCTTGGAGTGCAACAGGGGTGTCCTCTGGCTCCCACATCATTTTACATATATTTGGACCACATAGTTCGTCAAACCATCAATGCCTGTATCGGATGAATTCCCATCTGCTCCAGAAACAATGTGACGCGGAAAGATGCCCCGGGGTGGTCAAGGCATGGCTCCTTATTGGTCAACTACTTTATGAATGCTGATGATCTGCTCATTGATGCTCACTCGAAGGACTTGGTGGTGCTGCTGAAGAACCTGGAGCCTGCCACCAAGAGGTGGGTCCTTACCATCAGCCCAACCAAAACTAAGCACCTGCCTAACTACATGTGCGTCTGCCTTTTTCGCCCGGCAACGCCGGGTACATACTGCTAGTTACAATAATAAAGTATGTGTGCTGATAAAAAAAATCAGCCTCATTGCTTACTATTATGAAACAAATACGTTGACAGATATTACAATATTTATCTTGGTGTGCACATACCAACTCTGGTTCATTGTTTATTATTATTAAACTAATCAGTTGCCAAATCTAACAATAATAATGTTTGTGTGCACATAATAACTCACGTTCATTGCTTACGATAATGAAACAAATAAGTCAGCCGATATTACAAATATTATGTTGGTATGCAGATAACAACTCAGCTTCATAGTTTACTATTATTAAACAAGTTGACAGATGTTACAATAATCATGTTTGTGTGCACAAACCTCTTTTTGGATTTTTACGTTGCAAAATTTTCACTTTCTTTGCTGCACTTTTATGACGCTGCCACGGTCTACTGCCAGTCCGTGATCTGGCCTGCTGCCTGCTGATTAATTAACGTCAGTGCACTGCCAACCTAAAATCTACACTGCTCATTTTCCTTTTCACCATTTACAGTGTATGGCAGTCTATAATCTGTTGCCTGCTTCTTGAACTCACTCAGTGTACTGCCAGCCTTTCATGTCGACTGTAGCAATGCTTATGTCATTCAGTCGGCGTACTGCCAGTCTATTATTTCTACTGTAGCCTGCTTCTCAACTTACCTGTGCGTACTGCTGCTCTTTCATTGACACTTATGTCTGCTTATTTCTTCTATGCATTTCTATTGTTTCCATCGCTAACGTCATGCTATTTACTCATACGTAGTACTGCGATACTGATAGCTGTGCCATCATCGGGGATTGCTGTGCCCCTCGATGTGTGTGTGTAAGTCGATGTGTGTCTTTGAGTCCATATGTGTGTGCGTGTAGAGCCATGCGTGTCTTAAAGTCCATGTGTGTGTCTGTCTTTTTCGAACGGATAACGCCCCATGTGTGTGTGTACGTCAAAGTGGTTATGTATGTGTGTCAGTCCAAGTATGTGTGTCAGTCCATTTGTGTGCGTTTTAGTCGCTGTGTGTGTGTGTTAGTCCATGTGTGTGTGTTAGTCGATGTGTGTGCATTGCTTCATGCTTCATCTGAGTGTGTAAGTCAACGTGCGTTTGTGTGTCTATGTGTTTCAGTGGATGTGTGTGTGTAAGTCAATGCGTGTGTGTGAGTCGATATGTGTGTGTTAATCCATGTCTGTGTATCTAAAGTAGATGTCTGTGTGTCACAGTCCATATGTGTATGTGTGTGTAGTGCTATGTCTGTGTAAGTCTATGTATGTGCGTGTAAGTCCATGTGTGTGTGTCTTAGTCCATATGCGTGAGTGTAAGTACATATGTGTGTTCACGTCAATGTTTGTGTGTGTCCACGTATTGCTGTGTGTGAGTCGGTGTGTGTGGGTCGCTGTATGTGTGTACGTCCATATATGTGTGTTACTTTAATTGTGTATATCTCAAGTGGATGTCTATGTGTGATAGTTCACATGCGTATTTATGTGTACGGAAATGTACGTGTAACTCTATGTATGTATGTGAGTCGGTGTATGTGTGTACGTCGATATGTGTGTGTAACTCCATGTGTGTGTATCTAAAATGCATGTCTATGTGTGTGTGAGTCCATATGTGTGTGTGTGTAAGTCGATGTGTTTGTGTGTTAGTCGCTGTGTGTGCATGCCTCTATGTTAGTCTGTAGGTCCATGTGTGCGTCTTAGTCCATGCGTGTGCTTTATTGACCTGCTCAAGGCCTATGATACCATCAGTAGGCTTGGGCTCTGAGTTGCTCTTCGTGCTTTCCGAGGCCCCTGACCCACTGCTCACCATCCTTAAGGACCTTCATGATGGTGAGCGGCCCCGTGTCTAACTACGTGGCCGTGAGTCGGAGCTATTCCTTATACACCTTGGGGTGCAACAGGGGTGTCCTCTGGCTCCCACATTATTTTACATATATTTGGACCACATAGTTTGTCAAGCCTTCAATGCCTGTACCGGAAGAATTCCCATCTGCTACAGATACAATGGGAGGCTGATCGATGCCCGGGTGCAGTCAACGGATGGCTCCCTATTGGTCAACCACGATATGTATGATCTGGTCATTGAGGCTGACTCGAAGGAGTTCGAGGTGCTGCTGCTGAACCGGGAGCTTGCCACCAAGAGGTGGGTCCTTACCATCAGCCCCACCAAAACTAAGCACCTGCCTAACTACATGTGCGTCTGCCTTTTTCGCCCGGCAACGCCGTGTACTTACCACTAGTTACAATAATAAAGTTTGTATGCTGATAAAAAATCTGCCTCATTGCTTACTATTATGAAACAAATACGTTGACAGATATTACAATATTAATTTTAGTGTGCACATACCAACTCTGGTTCATTGTTTACTAGCAGTATATATGGACTTTACAGGAGTACATACATATATAACGCTAGTAGCAGTATATATGGACTCTACAGTAGTACAGTACATGCTGACTCTATAGCAGAATATATCGACTGTTGAGGAGTAAATGCTGACTCTATAGCAGTATTATCGATTCTACAGTAATACATGCTGACTCTATAGCAGTATATATCGACTGTACAGTAGTGCATGCTGACTCTATAGCAGTATATATCGAGTCTACAGTAGTACATGGTGACTATATAGCACAAAATACTCACGTGACAGAGTGCCGTGGTGTGGCTGTGAGCTCGACCGAGCGCACATCACTTGACAGGGTCCGCCCCCCCCCCACGAAATTGTCGTCAGTTGGTATGGTCGAGCTCGCGCAATAAGTAAATAAGTAAAATAAGAATGGCACTAAATCGCTAATTAAACTAATTTAAAGTTGACGGATCGGAAAACGGAATAGCCTATTCCCACCACGAGGCTTAGGGCGTGCCACCCGGCAATTTTTTTAGTCCGAAAACGACACCGTTTGAGAGCCAAATCCCCTGCAAGCGCGCGCTCGCGGAGACTTTTATAAAAGAACTAGCGGAAGTACCCGGCTTTGCCCGGGTGAAAAATATATTTCTTAAAAACCTTACATATGTAGAGAAGTTCCGACGGACGTACTCGGAGACGGAGGTAAGTTAGGGGCTTCCGCCAGGATTTATTACTCTTGGTCAAAACTACACAGGGTACACAACTCCCAGGGGCTAGGGGTCCTACTCTGAGTCTGGGTCCCTGCCGGCTAGCTCCGGTCTCTCTCTCTCGTGTCGGATCGTGGAGTCTGCCGACTCCACCGACCGGAGAGAGAAGCACCTCTTCGGCTACCACCGGCTTCTCCCCAGACTCCCTATTTGATCCCTCTCACTATCCCTGGTTCCCTCTTCACCCTGTTTACTATCCCCGTTCCTATAGTGACCCCGCTTACGTTACGGGGTCTCCCTTATATACCCTCGGAGGGGTGATGTCACGTGCACTGCCCAGCGCGTGCGACCCCACGTCCCGTGAGGTCACCGCACCGGACAGCGCACACGACGCCACCACTCTCCACTACTCCTCTACATCACCCCCCCCTGTGAAAAAAATTCAGCCGACTCGGCTGTAAACAATATAAAAGTAGAGGAGTCCCAGAACCACAAACCAACATATTCACAACCAACCGACAACATCCAGGCAGCATGACAACAATCAATCAAATTTCAAAACTTTGAAACTCTCATCACGCGCTGCCATCAATACAAAGGCGGAATCCCGATGGCCCAGACAACACACACCAACAAACAACAATTGAACAATTGAGCAGCCCAGACAAAACACACCAAAACGGACAATTGGGCAGTCTTAGACAAAACACGCCAACATAACACAATTGAGCGATGAGGGCTGGAGGCCGACGGCAGCGTTTCCACAGGCCATCAACAGAGCGCACGCCTCCCCATGTGGCACGAATCGCCAGGGCAGGCACCGTGCCAGCTAGTGACAGGCCCCGGGAGAGCCGCAGCAGCCCAGCAGCCCAACGCAGCTCCTGCCAGGCGCGCGCCGGCCCGAGCGGCGGCTCCTGCTGCCCATGCCGCGGCAAGATGCAGAGCCGCGGCGTCGGCATGGCAACGCCCAGGCACCGCGAGGTGCGGGGCCGCGTCGTCGCCGGCGGCCCCCACCGCGATCGCTGCAGGCAAAATAGCAGCCTGGTGCGGCGTCGCCGGCGGCAAAACCCGCATGCACAGCGAGGTGCGGTGCCCCGGCGTGACCCTCGGCCCACCCCGCGGCCGCGGCAACTATAGCAGCCGCGGTGGCGGGCGCGCCAAACCCCGCAGGCACGGCGATGCTCGGAACCGCGGCAACTTCCGCGGCGCGGCATCGTGAGGAGCCGCGGCAGCGATGCACGGGGCCACGGCGACACCCGCAGCGTACCCCGCCAGCGCGGCGATGGCCGGAACCACGGCGGCACCCTCGGCAACTCCCGTGGTGCGGCGAGGTGTGGAGCCCCGGACGTACCTGGGGCTCCCCCGGCGGGCGCAGCATGGTGCGGAGCTGTGGCATCGCCGCTGGCAGACCCCGCGCGCGCGGTGTGGCGCGAAGTCGCGGCGGCACCCACGGTGGACAACGGCGTCGCAGTTGCCATGGCATCCATGGCGCCGACGTGCGGCGTCGCATGAACAATGGCCGCCACCTGCAGCGTCGCAGTTAAAATGGCGGCCGCCTGAGGCGCCCCAACCAACATGGCCGCCGCTGGCGACGTCGCAGGCAAAATAGCCAGCTGGGGCGTCGCGGCGAAGATGGCGGCCGCCTCTCGCGGCGTCCCGGCAGTTGACAGTTGCTCCCATCCCGAGTGCGGACCGGGAGGACCCAACTTCGCCTCCGCGATGTCGAGACGGGCGCAGAGCTGCGCGATCGCCTGCAGGAGCTGCCTCAGCAGGTCTGCAGGGGTGCTCCCCGTCTCCAGCGGTGGTGGCGGCGAGCTGGCACCCCCGCCCGTCGTCTTCTCGGGGCCTGTCACCGGAGCCCCGGACTCCGGGGTCACTGCCGAAGCCTCCTCCCCGCCGTCTTCATCCTCCGATCGTCCCGTCGCTGGGTTCTTGCGCTCCGCTCCCGATGTAAACATTGTAGCAGCAGTGCAGACACTCTGACACCAGTTGTAGAGAAGTTCCGACGGACGTACTCGGAGACGGAGGTAAGTTAGGGGCTTCCGCCAGGGTTTATTACTCTTGGTCAAAACTACACAGGGTACACAACTCCCAGGGGCTAGGGGTCCTACTCTGAGTCTGGGTCCCTGCCGGCTAGCTCCGGTCTCTCTCTCTCGTGTCGGATCGTGGAGTCTGCCGACTCCACCGACCGGAGAGAGAAGCACCTCTTCGGCTACCACCGGCTTCTCCCCAGACTCCCTATTTGATCCCTCTCACTATCCCTGGTTCCCTCTTCACCCTGTTTACTATCCCCGTTCCTATAGTGACCCCGCTTACGTTACGGGGTCTCCCTTATATACCCTTGGAGGGGTGATGTCACGTGCACTGCCCAGCGCGTGCGACCCCACGTCCCGTGAGGTCACCGCACCGGACAGCGCACACGACGCCACCACTCTCCACTACTCCTCTACACACAGATACTAAGGTATTGTCAAAGCCCGGTGGGCTGTTTGTACATTTCTCCACCAACAAATATATAAGAGGCTTTCACAAGTCCAAAAAGTTGTAGAAAGTGTGGGGTAAATAGTTGATGTCAAAATGTTTCCGAAAATTGCGGTCTCCCCCCCCCCCCCTCAAAAAATATCTTTACCCCTCGTAGGTATATATACTAACAACACCTTACATACAACAGAGGAAGTGGTATCTATTGACTCTGTAGTAGTATCTACTGACTGTACCGTAGTATCTACTGAGCCATGTGTAGCTACTGACTGTGTAGTAGTATTTAGTGACTGTAATAACTACTGACCATAGTAGTATTTACTGGGCCTACAGTAGTATCTACCGACTATATACTCGTAACGACTAACTGTATAGTATCTGCTGACTCTATAGTGTATCCACTGACTATAGTAGTAACTACAAAATCTATAGCAGTATCTACTCACTCTATAATAGTATCTACTGACTCTAGTAGCTACTCACCGTAGCAGTATGTACTGACTGTATAGTAGTATATACTGACTGTAGCAGTATTGACTGACTGTAGTGGTATATACTGACTGTTTTAGTATTTACTATAGCGGTATCTACCAACTCGATAGCAGTATCTACTATCACTACAGCAGTGTATACCGACTGAGGTCTTACCTGCTATCACTACAGCAGTGCATACTGCTGTGTTGGTACCTGCTATGATTACAGCAGTGCATACTGCTGTGGTGGTATCTGCTATGATGAGAGGAGTACATATTGTGGTGGTGGTACCTGGTATGATAACAGCAGTGCATATTGACTGTACTCATCATTCACCCTCACCATTGACCACTCACAACTCACCCTTACCACTCATCCTCACCACTCACCACTCCCACTCACTATTCACCATTCACCCTCACAACTCACCACTCACCAACCTCCCTCACCAATCTCCATCACCACCCTCCCTCACCACTCACCCTCACCACTAACCCTCACCACTAACCCTCACCACTCTCCCTCACCACTCTCCCTCACCACTCTCCCTCACCACTCACTCTCACCATTCACCCTCACCATTCAGCCTCACCACTCACCCTCACCACTCACCGTCACAACCACCACTCACCCTCACCACACAACCTCACCCTCACTACTCACCATTCATCCTCACCAATCACCACTGACCAATCACCACTCACCACTCTCCACTAACCCTCACCACTCAACCTCACCACTCACCCTCAAAACTAACCACTCTCTCACCACTCACCCTCACCACTCAGCACTCACCCTCACCACTCACCTTCACCACTCACGCTCACCACTCACCCCTCACCACTCACCCATCACCACTCACAACCGCCACTCACCCTCACCATTCACCCTCACCACTCACCCTCACAACAACCACTCACCCTCACCGCTCACCACTCACCCTGACCACTCACCACTCATCCTCACCAATCACACCCTCACCAATCACCACTCACCCGCACTGCTCACCCTCACCACTCACCACTCACGCTCACCCTCACCACTCACCCCTCACTAATCACCACTCATAACCGCCACTCACCCTCACCACTCAACACTCACCCTCACCACTCACCCTCACCACTCACCACTCACCCTCACCACTCACCCTCACCACTCACCCTCACCACTCACCCTCACCACTCACCCTCACTACTCACCACTCATCCTCACCACTCACCCTCAACAATCACCACTCACCCTCACCACTCACGCTCACCACTCACCCTCACCACTCACTCTCACCACTCACCCTCACCACTCATCCTCACCAATCACACCCTCACCAATTACCACTCACCCTCACTGCTCACCCTCACCGCTCACCACTCACCCTCACCACTCAACCTCCCCTCACCACTCAACCTCATCCTCACCCCTCACTAATCACCACTCACAACCGCCACTCACCCTCCCCACTCACCCTCACTACTCACCACTCATCCTCACCAATCACACCCTCAACAATCACCACTCACCCTCACTGCTCACCACTCACCCTCACTACTCACCCTCACCACTCATCCTCACCAATCACACCCTCACCAATCACCACTCACCGTCACCACTTGCCACTCACCCTCACCACTCACCACTCACCCTCACCATTCACCCTCACCACTCTCCCTCACCACTCTCCCTCACCACTCACCAGTCATGCTCACCACTCACCATCACTACTCACCACTCACCCTCAACACTCACCCTCACCGCTCACCACTCACCCTCACTACTCACCCTCACCACTCATCCTCACCAATCACACCCTCACCAATTACCACTCACCCTCACTGCTCACCCTCACCGCTCACCACTCACTCTCACCACTCAACCTCCCCTCACCACTCAACCTCATCCTCACCCCTCACTAATCACCACTCACAACCGCCACTCACCCTCCCCACTCACCCTCACTACTCACCACTCATCCTCACCAATCACACCCTCAACAATCACCACTCACCCTCACTGCTCACCACTCACCCTCACTACTCACCCTCACCACTCATCCTCACCAATCACACCCTCACCAATCACCACTCACCCTCATCACTTGCCACTCACCCTCACCACTCACCACTCACCCTCACCATTCACCCTCACCACTCTCCCTCACCACTCTCCCTCACCACTCACCAGTCATGCTCACCACTCACCATCACTACTCATCACTCACCCTCAACACTCACCCTCACCGCTCACCACTCACCCTCACTACTCACCCTCACCACTCATCCTCACCAATCACACCCTCACCAATTACCACTCACCCTCACTGCTCACCCTCACCGCTCACCACTCACCCTCACCACTCAACCTCCCCTCACCACTCAACCTCATCCTCACCCCTCACTAATCACCACTCACAACCGCCACTCACCCTCCCCACTCATCCTCACTACTCACCACTCATCCTCACCAATCACACCCTCAACAATCACCACTCACCCTCACTGCTCACCACTCACCCTCACTACTCACCCTCACCACTCATCCTCACCAATCACACCCTCACCAATCACCACTCACCCTCACCACTTGCCACTCACCCTCACCACTCACCACTCACCCTCACCATTCACCCTCACCACTCTCTCTCACCACTCTCCCTCACCACTCACCAGTCATGCTCACCACTCACCATCACTACTCACCACTCACCCTCAACACTCACCCTCACCGCTCACCACTCACCCTCACCACTAACCCTGACCACTCACCACTCATCCTCACCAATCACACCCTCACCAATCACCACTCACCCTCACTGCTCACCCTCACTGCTCACCCTCACCACTCACCCTCACAACAACCTACTCACCCTCACTACCAAAAACTACACATGTGTTAGTCCCTGGGTAGTAAGTGTTATTTTCTATACGCTGACATCTCAAAAGTTACAAATGGGATAAAATTCCCCTCAAACTTAATTTTTTTTGACACGGACAGTGATATTTACAAATGGACCTATTTTGCTAGGAGAAAACGTGTGCATTTGTGTAATTCTTTCCTTTATATAAAGTTCTGGTCACAAAAGCAACATGTATGGGGAATAATAGCCATCTTATATACTTAGGAGGCTTAAGCAATATAAAAATAACACTTTTTACCCAGGGAAAAATCGTGGTGCATAGTGTATATTTATTATCATCAAACATAACTTAATCCCTAACATCTTTTAATATATAAGAGTGATACAAAATAGTAAACATAAATATTTAAATGTTTTAACTGAGCTGTGAAGTTGCGTGACTAACCTCGTAGCTTTTCGACGGGAATAAGAATCTCCGCGATTGTTTGAAGATATCGGGGAGGGTGGGGGGAAGGTAAACACGCCCACTCGTGACATCCCCCCCCCCACCGAACACGGAGCAACGCCGCGAGTGTGTGCGAGTCTGAAAGTGTGAGAGCGAGTGTATGTGTGAGTCTGAGTGTTAGAGTGAGTCTGTGTGTGTGAGTCTGAGTGTTAGAGTGAGTCTGTGTGTGTGAGTCTGAGTGTGAGAGTGAGTTTGTGTGTGAGTGTGAGTGTATGTGTGTGTGTGAGAGTGAGTGTATGTGTGTGAGTCTGAGAGTGTGAGAGTGGAGTGTATGTACAATAATACTGTCTAATCGCTATAATTTTATTATCTACCGACCCTATAATAGTAATTGCACACATTGGGGTGGAAGGGGAGTGAAGAGGACGTGAAACTTTGATGAATTTACCTCAGAGTCGCGTGTTAATGCGTGCGCATATTTGTAACGGGAATTAAAAATGGCGTCCACCCCGCAGCGAAGTTGTTGCTACCCGTTGCCAGGGGCAACCGCCGTGTTCCGCGCCGGCCGGCAATATTAAATAAATAAATAACTAAATAAAGAGCAATCGCACTAAATCGATAATCGGTCCGATTTAAAGTTTAGAGACGAAAAATCGGAAATGCCTAAGTTTACTGCGGGCCGGGGGCGTGCCCACCTGCAAAATTTAATCTCGGCGAACCCCACGGTCCGAGAGCTAAATCCCCCGGAAGGGAGCGTACGCAGACGGACAAACAGACAGACAGACAGATAGACAGACAGACAGACAAAAAATGAATTATATAGGTTAGATAAAGAAGAAAAAAGAAGATGCTATAGGCCCCGCAGTAGCTTAATACGGCACTGCTTCTCCCTGCTTTATTAGTTAGTGGAAGGTGGCTGTCGCCCCGGCCCACCTAACCCCATCTTCACTCGCGCCTTGTACCTCCATCTCTCTCTCCCTCTCCACCGCCAGCGATCCCAAACCCGGTGACCTCATTGAGATATTTCGAAAGGCCTACCAGCACTGGGCCATATACGTGGGAGATGGCTATGTGGTGCACATCACTTCCGATGGTGAGTAGACCAACACCCACCCCCTCCTTCCCCGTGTAGACTGCACAGAACTTGACCAGTCATGCTCGCGACATCGGACAAGGGCGGTCACCGCATCGCACGCTTTCAGATGCTATTTACACTACACTATACACTACATTATGTTCAACAAACTACACGACTACACTACTATACAATACACTGTACTATATACTACTTTACACTACACTATAAACTACAACACTACTATACACCACAATATACACTACACTATACACTACACTACCCACTACACTACACACTACACTATACACTCATCATCATCATCATGCAGTCCGTCCGCAAGGACGATGATCTTTCTTGCATCGGGAGTCAGAGATCCTTCGTCATCTTACGTGGCCGGCGTGTTCGATTTCCGTGAGTTTGCTTGTGACTGGCAAGACAGGCGTTTGAGCAACACGCCTTTCCCCACAGATCACACACACGGTGGGCTTGAGAGTACACCCCAGATATTCAGATGCACTGGTCGACACTGCGACCACTGAAAAACTGGGCTTGCTGTGTATTAAAGGCACTTTTTCTCAAGCACCCGAGTAGCTTCAGCCAAAGCTGTGCCGCGCCATCGCTGTCTGTTTTTGGGCGAGATTTTCACACGAATCTACCGCAATTCCAAATCTTCTCAAATTAAAAGTGAAGCACCATCCACGAAGCGCCAAAGCGCTGACCTCCTTCGCTACTGAAGCCCTCTCGTGCAATTGAGCGTAGAGCAAATTGTTTTGGGAGTCTCTTTTCTACCGAGTAGTCTGTGTGTGTGTGTCCATCCCAGCGAAGTTGGGCGACGGTGACCATGATATAACAAGGAGCCATTCCAGCTCCAGCAAGGGCCTCGGTCTTAGCTATTCTTTCCTGCCATTTTTCCCTCATGAGATTTCTTAGATGTTTATGCTGGAGGTCGTTGAGTCGTCGTAAGTGGCGATGGTATGGAGTCCAAGTTTCAGAGCCACATAGGAAAGCGGTTACTACGACTGCCCTGTTAACGCTGCCCAGTTTGTCCCATATATGCTCTCAAAGGGCGACCGAAAGTGGGCGAGGGTCTGCTCCTTATATTTTTAATCTCTTGGTCCAAGAATACCATCACTTGTCACTTCCCAAATATTTGAACTCGGTGATCGAGTTAAGTCGGTGTTGGTTAATGTGGATCCTTGCTCTCAAATTCAATGCCTCGCAGTGAGACCAAATTCTCTGGCTGAATAGGAAAAGGAGCCGACTACCCAATTGCTGGCCCACCTCAGCGCGGTCAACCAAGGCGCAGTCATCTGCGCACTGAAGTTAACGTATTTATGACCTCCCCGATGGGAGTCTTTGCGGGTAACCGTGACAACTTATGAAGCCCCACCTTCTGTGCGGTACCGGATCGCCACTCCTGCTTTCAGCTCCTTCATGGCCCCACCAACCATAGCGACAAAGAACGGGCTAAAAAAGAGTTGGAGCTAGACCACAGCCTTGCTTTACTTCATTTGAAATGTTAAATGCCTCTGACACGCCCTAGAGAGTGCTAATCCTTCCTAGTATACCATCATGGAACTGTGCCAGTGTTTTCACCTAGGGTACATCCAGGTTGTTTTAAAGTGGTCAAGCTGATAGAAAGTAGTAGATATTGAGCAGCCATGCGTTGAGCACAGTCCAAAGAGGAGTTGACCATTGCTCTTAGACTTGCCACCACCACGGCTTCCATTGTAATGACTGAAACAATAGACCACTTGCCTGACGAGGCACATACGCAGACGGACAGTCAGGATGTGCGTTAGAGGCCTCTGAGTGGTGCAGGGAGGCCTCAAAGAGGATTGGTCATGGCCAGCGAGTTGAACAGATTGGTTTAGAAATTCGAAAGTAAAAATGCGGGAAAACGAGGGTGAACTGTTGGGGCAATAGTTGACAACGGTTAGAGAAGGAGGACGAGGATTGGCAGAGGAAAATGGGGAGAGTGAACCTTCGAGAAAGGGGAGCTCGGGGGACATACAAGGGGACAGCACAAGGGGAAGGGACGGTTGGAGAGAATACAAAGTTCAAGCATCAAGAACCAAAGCCCGGGCCTAGGAATAACGTTGATTCCAAAATAAAGGCTCTCTGTGAAGTAACGGCGTGTGTCGTCATCACTACACAATGATACCAAGCCAGGTGTCATAGCCGGTCCCTACCCTGGCATTGAAGTCGCCTCGCAAGAGGATCTGGCCATTCCTGTGAAATGGAGGATAATATTTGGCCAAGTTCGCGATAGACCGTTTTCTCTTGACTTAAAGCGTTCGTGACGCAGGGATTCCTTTTCTTTGGAGCATAAGCCGAGGCAACCGTGATGTGTCTATTGGCCTCGAGAGGAAGGCGAAGTACCATGGGTCTATCAGAAAACCCCTTTGGGAAGTGACGATGGCTTTCTGGCAAGAGAATTCTTCATTGCAAAAACCTACACCCTCTGTAACACGTCTCTCTCCTTCGGGTCTTCGTGACTGGAAGAAGGGTATAATCTTCCCATGTCTTCCGTGAGCTGTCCTCCAGAAAAAAAACACGTCTCAGAGAGAGGGAGAGAACAGTGATGTGTCTCTGCCAAAGCATTCAATCTCCTGTGCAATTAGGTGCTGCACAGCCTCCTTACACCTCAATCCGCGGTATTCATCTGCCACCTCACCGCGCTGCACTATTTGTGCTGACATTTACGCATGTTGAATCATTTTTGCAACACGATTAATTATGAGCTTATTCTATAAGGTTGGATTTCCGTAAGCGGGTCTTCCACAACCAGTGGACTTACTGTATACACTACACTACTATACAGCACACTATACACGACACCACTACACTATATTGAAAACTAATTTTTTTTGAACTGCATCTTGTTGTTATTGTGTGTTAGTGTGTTGTCTTCCTCCACATGACTACGTACGGTGCCAAAGAAGTTCAACACACTGCACACACACACGTTCTCATTCCGATTCTTGACGAAATTTCAGGGATGTGCAGCGGCGTTTGCCTCGGTGTCATCAGCTGTTCGAGCAATGCCAAAGCAGTTGTGAGGAGGGACAAGCTTGTGGAGGTGGTGGGCACTGACAAGTGGAAGGTGAACAACAAGCTGGGAAATCCGCTGCCCGTGGCCGAGATCCTGGAGAGTTGCCGCCAGATGGTGAACAAGAAGCTGTCGTACAACATCTGCAAAAGAAACTGCGAGCATTTTGTGACCTTGCTCCGTTTCGGGCAGCCCCATTCGAAACAGGTAAGTGACATCATGGAAGGGGCGGAGGAGGGGTGGTGGGTTGGTGGGGGGTAGGCGAGGTGTAATGTAGTCGCACCTGACAGGTTCAGGCATCGTCAGGTCGGGATGGAACCCACAACCTCCTGCGTACTAGGCGAGGTAGTTAACATCTCCTAGCCACCGTGATGGTGATGAGAGAAAGAGTCACAGACTCCAAATATACAGCAGCAGGCATCGTCAGCGTCAGGATCGAATCCACGACCTCTTGTATACTAGGCGAGGTATTTAACATTTCGTAGCCACTGTGGTGATGATGAGAGAGACACGCAGACCGAATTCGAATGAAAATGCCACTTCTGGTTGTCTTGGATGCCAACCCCTGCGTTCAGCATAAGTCTGCCTGTATGAGGGTACCAGCTACAACAGTGCCAGTGCACGCCTTTGCCCTCTGTCCTCGTTCCTACAAAGTCTTGAGCTGCGGTGCTTTTTATCGTCGTCGTGGTCGCGTTAATACGTGGTACTTTCGTTTATTTTCCCTTCCAGGCAGACAAAGTCAAGACAGGTGCGAAAATAGTGGGATTTCTCGGCACCGTTTTTTTGGCCGCACTGGCCCTCTAGAGTTAGTCAGTCGCTGGCAGCGCTGCTGTGGTGCGGCTCAACAACCACCGTCGTCATTCACCATGCTCGATCCACTGCTGACGTCCCTCATGGTCTTGCGATGCAACAATCCATTAATCACGTGCATGCATTTTTCTTTGTTTTTGTTGCTTGCTTGCTTGCTCCATCTCTGATGGTCAATGTGTGTCGCGCTGGTTAGGAGATGTTAACTGCCTCGCCTGGTATGCAGGAGGCCGTGGGTTCGATCCCGACCCTGAAGTCTGCTCTATATTTGGAGTGTGCATTTTTTACCCGGTCCTCCAGTTTTATCTTCCACATTTAAAATCAACTGAGCTATGTAGCTCTTTCTCAGAAGCAACCTGGCCACAAATGATAGCCCAAAGAAGGGGCGTATCACATGACAATGTATAGCAGCCGAATACTCTAAGCTCACGTTTCTAAATGTGGATGGAAAAACCAGAGGACCCAGAGAAAAAAAATCCACGCGACCACGGAGAGAGACATGCAATCCACAAAAATAGAGCAGGCATCGTCAGGGTCAGGATCGAACTCACGACCTCCTCTATACCAGGCAAGGTAGTTAACATATCAGCACTACCGCAGCCCTATATGTACTACTCGCATATCTTTTTTTCACTGAAATTCTCTTTTCACTCTTTGTGCGAGACATTAAAACCAATAAAGATCCTTTTAAAATGCGTTCAGCGTACGGCCATCTTGTCTCCCAGCACCGCCATTTTGTAACATGGTGGGAGTGAGGGAGGGGGGAGAGGGGCCACATTATCCCGGTTTCCCGCCAATTATCCCCCACTCTCCCTGCCCCCACCACACTCCCTCCACTCCAGAGCCTTCACCACTTCCATTTGCAACCGTCATCTGCAACGGTCCGCGTAACATCATTGTCGTCATGCCCCCACCCGCTTCGACAACGCTGACTTGCCCCTATCCCTGACGTCCCCTATCCCCTGCACCTACTGTTAGTACAGTCGTGTACACGTGTGTGCGTTGCGTTGTGTGTGTAAATTGTACACGCACACACACGTGTTCTTTGTAACACACACACACATCAGTACAATACATACACAGCACCAAGTCCGATAATACAATCGTACACAAGTAAGAACGTTAGCAAGGCCACTACACGCAGCACTGTACCCAGTGCTGGATCTAAGATTAATAAGCAGGTGAAATTACGAGTTGTTTTTTATTATACGTTACCTTTTAAAAATCGTTACTGTGTTTTGTTGTTTTGTTTTCTTACGGGCTGTTATATATCTATTTTTTGAGCGCTAATAATGACGTCCCCTGCACCTACTTGACCGGGTGGCCCGAGGCGTGACGACGTGAGATTTGGCGTAACGGTGGCTCGGAGACGCTAACTCCCTTCCGTGATACGCAGGGGGTTCGATCCCAACCCTAATGCCTGTATACTCTGAGTTTGCATGTTCTCCAAGTGGCCGGTGGATTTTTCTCCGGGTCCTCTAGTTTTCCCCTCCACAATTAGAAACACGCGTTTAGAGTATTTGGCTGCTATTCATTTTCACACGATAAGCCACATCATTGGGCTATCGTTTGTGGTCAGGTTGCTTATGAAGACGAGCTATATAGTTCAGTGGGCCTTACCTGGAATGTAAGAACAATGATGCACAACATTGAGAGTGATTGCCCCGAACGAAGAACGGCCATTTTGTCCAGAGAGTTAGCGAAGCACAACATTGACATTGGTGCTCTCAGTAAAAAAACCTTACCTGGTTAGAGGCCTTACCTGGTTAAAGAAAAACAAAGTTTAGTCTATGAGTGTCTGTGTCTCTATGAGTGTGTATCTGTCTCTGTGAGTGTCTATGTGTCTCTGTGAGTGTCTTTGTGTCTTTGTGGGTACCTATGCATTTCTATGTGTTTAGAGTGTTTGGCTGCTGTTGTCAATGTGCACGTGATGACAATGACGTTGAGTTGCTATAATTTGCGATGATAGATCGGTGTATGCTTTTACCTGGTGGAATAAAATAGTTTCGTTTTATTTGCGCACATGTTTTAAAAGCGATCTGCTCACCCTTCCTATACTTCGCACTCCCATCGTGTTTTCGTATTGTTTGTTGTTGTTGTTGTGTACTGTAACGACTCTGGAGGTATAAACTGTAGAGGCTTCCCCATTATTTCCTCACACTCACACAACTACAACTGTGTCACACGGAATACAGCGCTGACAGTCTAGCTCGATTGCGCCAACTTCACTATATCGCTGGCTGATTATCTAGCGACAACGGCGACAAAGCGATGACAAAGACGAGAAGCGACGACGAAGACGACAGCGACGACGACCAAGACTCCGACCCCCGGCAGCAGCCCAGAACCCCGTTCCTCGCTCCCTTTTATCCTCCCAGCATGGCCGTGGCTCCGCCCTGGCCACGCCCCCTTTCTCGAACCCCCAAGCTGGTTCGGGGAACTCCCAGATAGATCCCCTCTCTGACCTTTGGCCCAGATATCCCCCCTCATGGTCGCTCTTGTATATCTGTCTTTCTTTCTGCCCATACTGTTGTTGCACCCGCAATAGCCACTTCTGACCGCTAGTCGGCGCACTGTCTCTACAGTTGTAACGTGCTGCCACCAGTGCTGGACACCGGTAAGAAAAAAAGAAAGCTTCATAGCTCATCGGATTCCTCCAGTATAAACAAAGATTCTGAATCCCCTCGTGTAGCATTAACAAAGTGTGGGGGAAAATGCCGCTTAGTGAGCAGCGCCTATGAAGGCCGCCACTGTGGCACACGAGGGGATGAGCGGCCAGCACCACGTGCGGCCACCTTTGTTTCCCCCAGTGGCCATGTTTACTACACACCAGGTAATCATTTGAGGCCGAGTCGGCCTAAAGGAGGGCCCAGGACCGGTTCAGATATTCGTCACTGGTGTTTGCCCAAGAGCAGGAATTGAACTCGGGTCGCCGGGTTCGTAGCTCAGCGCGCTAAAAGCTACACACCCACTCCCCAAACACAACAACAACCACCATTCGCCACTAAGTGGCGGTAACGTCACCATGACGCTTGTGCCAGGCCATGTGCACCTTGAGGCCACGTGAAGTGTCGACCGCCCGCTGGCAGGAGGTCACGGGGCAGACCCAGCAGGTGCCACGGGTCGACTGACTGAGATGACCAAGATGACTGGCTGATGCACCACCTGTGCCCCCTACTGTGGCAACTTGCTGTGCTTTAGCCACCCGGCGCTCCACTCGTTGTTGTGAGCGTCGCTCCTCCGCCCTCCGTTGTTGTTGGAGGGCGACTGCTTACAACTGCCCAGTAGCGTCCTTCACGAGCCTCCTCCACAGAGGCTGATGTTGACACCGCTGGTACCAGTCATCGGCAAGTCCACTCAGCTCCACGTCCTCCTGTACCACATCACTCCATCTCTTCTCTAGCCCGTGCCGCGCCCGTTTAGCCCCCTCGATCCGGCCGAACAAAAGTTGTTTAGGCATGCGGGCTACATGACCCAGCCAACGCAGCCTTGCCTGCTGGAGGAGCTCACCGATGGGACTTTGCCCAGATCTTTCAAGGATTTGTGAGCTCCTCACACAATCCAGCCTGGTTAAACCCAGGATGGATCGTAGGCAGGCCAGCCTAAATGTTTCCAACTGGCGAAGATGCTCCATTAGGGGGGTCCACGTTTCGCACGAAACCCCACACACGAAACCCCACACACACATGCACATGCAAGCAAACATGTGTACATCTGCATTCATGTATACGCCAAATTGCACTTATAAACACAGTTATGGGATGTGTCAATGGCACCCATGGACGTACTCTATTGCACAAATACATACGCAGCATGCAGTGTACGCTGTTGGCTACAAATCAAATATTGGTAATAGTTTGCACTTAAAAATGCACGCCTGCCTTCCACAACGGGAAACGCATCACCATTGTTACAACAGGAAACGCATCACCATTGTTACAACAGGAAATGCATCAACGTTGTTACAACAGGAAACGCATCAAGTTGTTACAACAAGAAATGCATCACCGTTGTTACAACAGGAAACGCATCACCATCGTTACAACAGGTAACGCATCACCATTGTTACAATAGGAAAAGCATTGCCATTGCTGCAATGGAAAACACATCACCGTTGTTACATTTGGAAACGCACCACAATTGTCACAACGTGAAAGGCTTCAGCGTTTTTACAAAGTGAAAGGCATCACCGTTGTTACAACAGGCATGAGCATTTAATGCCTTCAACGTCATTCTTGATCCGTTACACAGTTTTGGTGGGTCCAAATTTCTTAAGATTTATACATTTGTCAATGGAGAAGAATTTTCGTGAAAGTATTTGAATCAATCAAACCGCCCGTAAGATTTTTGTTACCACGAATGTCTTGCAGTGTTCTGTTGACTGCCTCAAATCCGTGCTAATGCATCATCGAGATGTCATCACAGAATAACTCTTCAGCTTCCAGCTGTACTTTGGCATTCTCACTTCCTTTCTGTGACGTTGCAAACGGGCGCTTCGTTATGGACCAAGTCAATCGGGATTTGAAGCGTTGAATGAGCTGTTCGTCCACCAGTCATCAACGTTGCAGCGATGTCAGAAAATGCAACAGCAAACGCAATCTTCTTTAATCCTCTGATGCGGGCCAATGTCGTCGTAGAACCTCTTGATAAATTTGTGTTGCTCTGCATTCAACAGTGTCTCAGTCCGCTCAACGTAATCCAACATTTTGTCAAAGTCATAAGACAACTCTCGAAGCATGAATGTATCACGTGGTAACACCGTGGGGGTATTGTGGGTAATGTATAACGTGGTAACACCGTGGGGGTATTGTGGGTAATGCATCACGTGGTAACACCGTGGGGGTATTGTGGGTAATGTATCACGTGGTGACACTTGTGGGGGTATTGTGGGTAATGTATCACGTGGTAACACCGTGGGGGGTATTGTGGGTAATGTATCACGTGGTAACACCGTGGGGGTATTGTGGGTAATGCATCACGTGGTAACACCGTGGGGAATTGTGGGTAATGCATCACGTGGTAACACCGTGGGGGTATTGTGGGTAATGCATCACGTGGTAACACCGTGGGGAATTGTGGGTAATGCATCACGTGGTAACACCGTGAGGGTATTGTGGGTAATGCATCACGTGGTAACACCGTGAGGGTATTGTGGGTAATGTATCACGTGGTAACAATGTGGAAGTATTGTGGGTAATGTATCACGTGGTAACACTGTGGAAGTATTGTGGGTAATGCATCACGTGGTAACACCGTGGGGTATTGTGGGTAATGTATCACGTGGTAACACCGTGGGGGTATTGTGGGTAATGCATCACGTGGTAACACCGTGGGGTATTGTGGGTAATGCATCACGTGGTAACACTGTGGGGGTATTGTGGGTAATGTATCACGTGGTAACACCGTGGGGTATTGTGGGTAATGTATCACGTGGTGACACCGTGGGGTATTGTGGGTAATGCATCACGTGGTAACACCGTGGGGGTATTGTGGGTAATGCATCACGTGGTAACACCGTGGGGTATTGTGGGTAATGCGTCACGTGGTAACACCGTGGGGGTATTGTGGGTAATGCATCACGTGGTAACACTGTGGGGGTATTGTGGGTAATGCGTCACGTGGTAACACTGTGGGGTATTGTGGGTAATGTATCACGTGGTAACACCGTGGGTATTGTGGGTAATGCATCACGTGGTAACACCGTGGGAGTATTGTGAGTGCAATGATGCACGAATTGAGGAAAGGAGCACTCAAAAGCCTGTTTTTAATATAAGCAACTTTAATCTCAACTTACCCTAACATCCAACTCTTACCATCAGAATTCCAACAACATTAAAGAATCAATGGTCTAATCTCAAGATCACGTGGTCAAACCAGAACAATTGGCAACAGCCTCAAAATGGCAACATTTGTAGAGAATGCATTCTCGTCAACTGCGTATCAAAGAGTTAGAAAACATAAACGATCGGATCTCACAATCACGTGATTAAAATAGAACAATTGTTTGTTCCATGGCAACGTTACAATACACAATCCCCTTGTTATGGTGTGTGAATCATGCAAGCTGAGATCATTCTTAGCCCACAACCTGTAGAAGGTACAGTTACTACAAGTGAGTGAGTATAAAGATCATTAAAAATCCTTCTTTCTCCTTTATTATTTCTGAACAATAGCCCAAGTCCAACAACAATGTGTAGAACGGCAGGCTTGGTCCACAGTTATATGGCGTTCAATCTTGATTTGAAGCTTTCGTGACAGCAGAAATCCATACTCTTTGCGTCTTTCGGTAAAGTCACGTAGGTAGAGAAATAAATTAAAATAAAACAAATCACGACGTTTCGATCGCAACACAAGCGGTCGTCGTAAGGCCTAATGACGACCGCTTGTGTTGTTTTAGTTTATTTCTAACTACGTGACTTTACCGAAAGAACCAAAGAGTTGTTATAGGGGGAAGACACATCAAATCCCATAGCTCCTCCCCCTATCACGCCCCTTGCATCTACAGGCAGTCCCCGAGTTACGATGGTCCGACTTACGATATTTTGATCTTACGATGGCGATAGTGATACGACAAAATTGCCATCAACAACCTAACATCGTTCAAGTATGCAGACGACGACGGACAGAATCTTGGTGAGTACAGTACAATATGATACGTTACGATACGTTCAACGCATGTATGACACGTAGCTTTAGCGATTTCATTTTAAGGTTACCACGATACGATACGTTCAATGCATGTTAAAAGTTTTTATAGCAGATAGGATTGTTTCCTGAAAAAACTTTCTATTAAATTGCAGTTCAGATAGGTATAGGCTGAGAATTTACCCTGTTTTTTACTTTACATTTTACTGTGCAATACAGTATTGTAATTAATACATACACACAGTATCTAGTTTATACAGTATTGTAATTAATACATACACACAGTATCTAGTTTATACAGTATTGTAATTAATACATACACACAGTATCTAGTTTATACAGTACGGTACTGTAAATTGCTCTGTTTTGCTAAATTATCACCATTCTTTAAGACTCCTGGGTAGGCTAAGCCATCTTCTACTTACGATATTTTCGACTTACGTTGGGGTCGTCGTAATGCATCTCCATCGTAAGTAAAGGACTACCTGTATCTGGTCAGCCTGTATGCCCCTTTGTTCTAGCTCGACAGGCATCTTGGCACCTGATGTTATAACCCCTATAAAACTCCCTCCCTCCGGAGGTCATCCCAGGATTCGAGTCGACACAGACCCACTTAATTGGCCCAAGGTGGTGTGTGTGTAGTGCCTGAAATACGCGTCACACGCGAGAGTGGGTGTACGCGCGCGTAGAGTACAGTGGGAGCAAACGAGGTCGAGGTTGTTATTGTCGTTAGGCGTGAGGAAAAGGCCAGAGACGGGTAGGGGGCAATTAAGGACGCAGGGCGCTGATTGGCTGGAAGTTGTTGTTGTCGCTAAGTGGCGCCGCATTGTCTGGGAAAACATGGCAGGTGCCAGCGGGGGCTGGGGGCGAGGGGCGTCGCGGGGGATGCCACCGATTAATTGGAAATTAATTGACTTGGGGATAAAGAGAGGGGGTTTTGAAGGAGACGGGAGTTCGCGCCTGGGAGGAGAAGGATGTTGGAGCTGAAGCAACGTAAGCCAGAAGCAGTGGAGAAGTATAGGGTAGCAGAGGAGAGGTATAGGGTAGCAGTGGAGAAGTAGAAGGTAGCAGGGGAAAAGCCAGCAGAAAGCGGCTGGAGAGTGATGGCGAAGCCGATAAAGAGCGGCTGGAGTGTGACACAAGAGCCGATTAAGAGCGGCTGAACTGTGCCGGAGAGAGTGGAGAGGATAGTCGATGGAGGAGAGACGGGGAGCGAGCGAGGTCAGTGGAACGCGGCGAGCGAGCGGGCAGCGTGCTGGAGGAATGTTGATCGGTGTTAGCTGGCGGAATGTTGATCGGTATTAGCGAAATAAAGTGAGAGAGAAAAGCAAGAAGCTGTCGTGTCAAGTCGAGCACTACATGTGTGTCTGTAGCCAAGCTCATTGTGAACGGCCTTCGTTTCTCTGGCTGTTCATCTATAGGTTCATCCCTTCCCCTATTGAGCCTGCTTCGCAGAGTTCGAGTCCCACTCCCAATCAACTAGGAATTTTTAGATAATTTAATTAATTCCCTAAGGCACGTTCAGGACCGAAGCTTCTTCAACCTTTGCACACGTGGTGCATCCATCGGGTCGGCCTGAGTTCATCATTGGTTCTGGCTCCGCAGACATCTTGGCACCTGATGCCATAAACCATTTAAAACTCCCCTCCCTTCGGAGGTCATCCCAAGATTGTGTGAGCACAGATGTTATTTTTTGCCCCTAGGTGTGGTGTGTGTCTGTAGCCTTGTTAATTGTGAAACGGCCTTCCTCACACTTTAGGTCGACTCATTCTTAAAATGAATTCCTGCTGTAGCATGCAATGACAGCCACTGGGAATACAAAGGCGGTCGAGTGTGGCTTGGTTATATCCCTTGCATTATCATTAAGTTGTACCTTCTTATCCCAGACCGTGTGGCATAATAATAATTGTTAATGAAAATATGCTAAATAGTTATTTTAAACCTTTTAACTTGAGCTGCATCGTTTAATACCATGATTGTTTGAAAATGTTCATATGCGGTGGTGGTCAAACCAAACTTTACACCTTTTCTAAAACACATTACTGCGGAGGGAGCTGGTAGGAACGTTAGGTTGCTCGGTCAATGGCCTGCAGGGTCAACGGCAGCGTGGTGTATTCCGCAAATATGGCCGACTGTGAGGGCGGGCACAAGCCGGCGTGAGTAGGTTAAATGTTGAGTTTTATAAGGGCACCACGGGGTGACCAGCCCCTCCCCACCCAGCCCCACTCATTCCACCCCCCACCCAGCCCCACCCTCCCCACCCAGCCCCTCCCCACCCTCCCCTCCCCACCCAGCCCCACCCTCCCCACCAAGCCCCTCCCTGCACGACGGACGGACGGACACAATAATCCCCTGTGGGCTGGTGTAACCAGGAGGTTCCTATCAGTACCAAGGCTTGTGAGTCATTAACCTCCAGATGCCGAATCTCCTTTGTGTAAGGGACACTTCTGAAACAGCAGGGGGTGCTCCTTTGGCTTTTGTTGTCTCAAGGGAGGAGTTCACAGGCCTCAATTACTGCGGTTTTTCTTAGAACTCGCTAAATACAGATATACGGAAAAAGATAACTATTACGTAAAAAAGTAGGCATATATACAACAGGTGGATACCATCGGGGTTGACTGATCGAGAACAACTTGGTGGAAACCATCAGGGTTGCCTGTTCGAGATCAACTTGGTGGAAATCATTGGGGTTGACTGTTTGAGATCAACTTGGTGGAAATAATCGGGGTTGACTGTTTGAGAACCAACTTGGTGGAAATAATCGGGTTTGACTGTTCTACAATCAACTTGGTGGAAACCATCGGAGCTAAAACAGGTGTAGCAATTAAGAGTGTGTCAGTTTGTTACACTCAGAACTGTAAATACGTTAAGTTAGAAATAAATCTCTACTTCTACAAAAATTTAAGTCTCTAAATAACTTTTTTACATATATATGTATAAAATGTGTGTGTACGAGCATGTGTGGTGGGGAGCGGTAGTGTAGCGGTTAGCACGCTGTGCTAAGAACCTAGCAACCGAGTTCGATTCCAGCTCACGGCCAACACCGGTGACGATTATCTGAACTGGTCCTGGGCCTCCTACCCCTAGGTCGACTTAGCCTCAAATGAGTAGCTGGTGTGGTGTGTAAACATCGCCACTGGGGAGACAAAGGCGGTCTGGCCGTGGTGCTGGTCACCCACCCCCCACGTGTGCCTTGCCGGCATTCTTGGGTGCTGCTGCTACCTGCTACTACTAACGGCACTTTCCCCCACAGCCTGTTAAGGCTACACAGGAGATATTTGTCTTTGTGTGTGCATGTGTGTTGCATCCCCCCGTCCCCCTTCATGCCCCAAACGTACAGCTATTTCAGCTTCTTGTAGAGGAAGAAGCCCGCAGCGGTTAGCACCACTCCGCCCAGCATCGCGCCAATCGCTGTGCCTGCCAACACTCCAGAATCTGGGGAGGCTATGGGAGTGGGGGGCAGGGGGGGGGCACAGAAGGGATCACCCAGAGTGGGAAGACAACAGCTGAGCAGTCGCGTTCTTCCACTCTCTCTGCAGAGGTTAGCAGTTCTAGCACCGCGGCTGCACTGGCTTAGTCCGTGTGTGTCATGATCTTCATCGTCGTCGTCACCGTCGTCACCCATGCAGCATTGTCAACCGCAGCCAGTGGCGATGTTTACTGAGCACCGCAACCAGGGCACTCATTTGTAGCAGAGTCGACTTAGGTGAGGGCCCAGTACCGGTTCAAATGTTTGCCACTGTTTTTGGTCGCGAGTGGGACTCGGACTCGGGTCTCTGGGGTCCGTAGCACTCACCAGGTGTACGTGTATATGTGATGCCGCCGCCACGAAGCCGTTCAGCAGGTGCCCCATCGACGACCTCGCCACCACCAAGAGACGGAGCCGACCCCGCGTCCCCCTCACCTCACCTCACATGAACACACCCGCACGCATTTTCCCCCCACCCATAGAGCTGGAAGGGGAGGTCACCTGATCGACCGGTTTTTATCCGAGAAGCCCTTATCGGGATTGACTTTCACGGTTTCCGGCTACCAGGGAATTGGACGACCTCCCCCGACGCTACTTTGCACCGCGGCGCTGCGACCGGCCTTAAGATGGTATGGTCGCGGCGAAGGGCATCCCCCCACACACACCCCCACGGGTCGACGAGACAGGCAGAGGAGGGAGGGGGCGGCAGAGTTTAGGGTGCGCAATTGATGGGGCAGGTGGTGGTGACATGCGGAGGCTCCGCGCTTAACTTCTGCAGCGGGCCGTGGTGATGGACGCCGCTGCATGGTGCGCAGGAGCACGGTGCCATGCATGAGAAGGGGATTAATTGGAATTGGCGCCGCACACGCAGCACATCCGATTAGCATATCAAAGGCGCCCGGAACCGCCATGCACGTGCCAGCGGGCGCGCGTCCATTGTTAAAGAAAAACTGGGAGAGGGCCGCCACCACACTCGGAGCCGCATCCCTTTGAGGTAGGGAGGATAAAAAGGGGGCGCAAAGGGGAAATCGCTCTCACTCCAGCGCCAGGCGACAAAACGCTCTCCAGCCCAGCGACCCGAACGTCCGTGAGATGCATCGAGGTACGCTGTGAGTACGGGATCAACGGACCACCGTGGGCACCTAACAGTGAGTAAGGAGGTGAAGTAGGATCATAGCCGATAAATAGAGAATAGGTACAGGGGTAGTAGAATAGGCCAGCCTCGTCGATTCATACTGACTCAACAACCAGTTCCAGGTACCAAACAATAAATCATTAATAGCGAATCGTGGCCTCGTGTGATCTCGTTGAGCAGTGTGAACGCGTGTGGTGCTGCGTATACAGCGGCTCGCCTCGTGGGAGCGCTGCGCAGAGCGGCGCGAGAGTGGGTGTCGCGTCTGTGCAGGTGTGTGCGCTCGTAGTGTGGGGGAAGGGGTCGGTGCGTCCGCAGGTCCCCGCTCCATCTATCGCCGCAGGGACTCGCGCAGTGTGAGGGCAGCGTCATTCACCCTCCGACCCCTGACCCCCGCTTAATAGCGCGTGATTCGTGGAGAGACAACGCAGCGTTTACAGGTGAACGAGAGCGTGCGACGAGCTATGCCTCTCACACGAGCTCGCGGAGGGACGGACCAGGGAGGGGAGCCGTCAGGCGATGAGCCCAGCGACGGCAGCAGCTGCTCGCAGAGTAGCGAGGGGTCGGCGAACGGCAGAGCACCTGCCATAGGCACGGAGCAGGGAGGGACTTCGGGGACCAGCGGCCCCAACATATACGTTGCACTTCTTTTGCACCATAAGTGGCCAACTGCGCAAATCAGAGGTGCGGGCAGAAGGACATTAAACTAAAGGTGACAACAAGTAGTTCAAAAGAATTTAGTTTGTCAATCTAGATGATGATTTTAAAGTGGCTTCCTCATATCGGAAGGAAGAGCATTCCAGACGGCCACCAAAGCAAATCGGACAGTGCTGCGCAATGCGGCAACCGCCATCTTTGTTCGACGGCTAAGCCAGAAGTCGCTGCTGCTGCTACTGCTGCTGCAAAGATGACGACCAGAATTGGCGTGATGGTGGTTTACGCTCCGTGACGATATCGGTGAGTGATTGTCGTCCATTTGTGGCAAGCACCTTGTGTGTAATGAGTTCCGCACTCGAAAGCTGGACAGAGGCCATGCTCCATGGGGTGGGTCGCAGCATCACATCTCCCGAGATGTTAACTACCTCGCCTGGTATGCAGGAAGTCGTGGGTTTGAGCCCGACCCTGATGCCTGCGGCCGTCTGGAACACTCTTCCTTCCGATATTAGGAAGCCACTGATGCTGTGCACTTTTATATCATTATTTAGATTGACAAACTCCATTTTTTTGAACTGCGTTTTGTGTTTAGTTTGCTGTCCTTACCCCGCACCCCCAATTAGCACGGTTGGCTACGTACGGAGTGAAAGAATTTCAACATACACAACTTTAGATTTTGTGTGGTCTCTCCGAGGTTACGTGGATTCTGCCCTCCACATTTAGAATCGACGTCACGCGTTCAGAGTGTTTGGCTGCTGCTACACATGTCCACACGATGATATTGATGACGATAAGCCACTTAATCGAGCTATCATTTAGTGATAGCCAGGTCGCTTTTGAAAAAGGGTTACATACCCCTCAGTGGGCCTTACTTGGTAAAAAAAGAAAGAAAGTTGATAGTACTCACCGACCAAGGTGGAGATCGGCAGAGAGAAGAAAGTTTCCGCAAACAGGGCTTGTTTTCCAGCGCGGACGGAGCGTGTGCCTGGGATGTACGTGTACGCACGGAAACTGAACCTGTGCCGCCAGGAGGGATGGAGGGGTTTGGGAGGGGGGGGGGGGTCGCGCGGAAAGGCAAGACAGCACAGCGCCAAAGAGGGTTTCGATTTAAAGCTTTCGTGACTGCAGGGATTCATCTTCTTGGTTCTTTCGGTAAAGTCACGTAGAAGGAAAATAATAAAATAATAAAAATAAAACATAATAAAATAATTGTCGTTGTCGGACGGTGCAGTAGCCCCGTCACCACGCGTGGCCTCAAGGAGCACCAACGACAAAGAGATGTGTAAAAAAAATAGATATTTGTCGTGATAACGTCAAGATGAACTTTCTCCGACAACGCACCTGTACTTCGTGTTCGACTTCAGGGCACCGTCGTCGAAGCCGCCGTTAGTGGCGCCGGTGCCGACTGTGACCGGCAAGATGGAGCTCGGGCTTTTGCACTCGGCGGGGTAGACGCGGTCGTCCACCTGGTACACCGCCGTTGTGCCGCTCTTGTAGTCCGAATACTTGCTCAGCGGCCATTTATTCTCGGGCTTTTCGGTGGTCGTCTCTGCAAGCGAAGGGACGCGTTGGCCATCCGGTGTGGCGAGGTGAGGATTTATCTTACGGAACCCTTCTTTTTATTTTTGCTTACCAGTATCTGAAATAAAGAATACGTTTTTGCCCTTTGTCGGCAATAAAATAACCGGCTCAACCCGAGCTATAAGTGCTCTGACGCTTGCATTGCCTTGGTTATTACTGTTCGCCTTTTGGCGATGCTGTCTGGTCGAACGCCGGTGCAGAGACAAGACTAGGATGAAGACTGCTACTGCTGTCTGGTGTAGGCCGATCAGTTTCCAAGGCAATGCATCAAACATTATCAGAGCCATGTTTGTTTGCACGTTTTGCCACAAGTACTGCGTGTGGTTGGTTAATGCAAACGTGACGCCATGCAAAAGGTATCTCTGTTTGGTGTTTGAACACCTTAATACCTGCAGTTGTATTGAGGTCTGAGATTTGTCAAATTTCCCGTCGTTGTCCCATAAAATATACAAACAGCAATACAGAACGTCCTCCATTTACATTGCTCCTATCAATATTAACTCTAACATTCTTCCTATCCCATTCCGATGAAGCACATACACGTACGTCGTCAAAACGGAAGTAAAAAAATGACTTTTTTGGTACCAAGACTCTCCCCAGGGCAGGGCGCGTGACACAGTTTTAGCACCGGCTATCATAGAGAGGCGGCGGTTGTGTGGCTACACTTCTCTGCGGTGAGTAACGATGCCTTGAAAAACAACGGCGCTTGCTACTAGGCCTCTCTAAATGAGATGTACTCAGAGCCGCTTGCACGTTCCGAGATTCAGACGTGAACAGATTTGTCTCCGGCTCCTCGGGTTTTTCCCTCCAAGTTTAGAATCAATGTGATGCGTTTCGAGTCTTTTGGCCGCTATACATTTCCACGTGTTGATGATGATGATGATTCTGACGACGACATCGGCCTCATCGTTGAACTATCATTTGTGGCCAGGCCGCTTCTGAAAGAGAGCTACACAACTCAGTGGGCGTTTCCTGCCAAAATAGAAAATAGCTTCTTTAGTCATCATCTTTCCTGCCCACGTACCCGCGGATTCCTTGACGATGACCGTGTAGTACTTGAGGTCGCCGTTGGTGGTGGCGAACCAGCTGCAGTTGAAGGTCAAGGTCAGGCTGCTCGGGGTCACCGCATTCGGCACCGAGTCGATTTTCACTGGCTCCAAAATGGCAGGCGGAGCTGCTTGCAGCCATAGGGGTTGGGCACATACGCACAAAGACAAAGATCCCCCGTGTAGCTGTAACAGACTGTTAGAGCAAGTGACGTTATCGAGTAGCCAAAAACCTATGGTCGCGAAAGCCTTAAAAAGTGTTAAACTGGATTGTGTTTGTTGTTGTAACGTTCTGACCCTGTGGGCATCTGTGACAAAAGAGCTTTGTAGCTCATCGGATTCCTCCCGCAGTCAATAAAAACACATTCCTGCTGAAGGAGCTGGTAGGAACGTTGGGTTGCTCGGTCAATGGCCTGCAGGGTCAACGGCGGCGTGGTGTATTCCGCAAATATGGCCGACTGCGAGGGCGGGCACAAGCCGGCGTGAGTAGGTTAAACGTTGAGTTTTATAAGGGCACCACGGGGTGACCAGCCCCTCCCCACCCAGCCCCACCCCTCCCACCCCCCACCCAGCCCCACCCTCCCCACCCAGCCCCTCCCCACCCTGCCCACCCAGCCCCTCCCCACCCTCCCCGCCCAGCCCCTCCCCACCATTCAGTTGAGAGATGCACGCGAACACGAAGAAGTTTGTAGAGTCAGTTTTCCCATAAACGCTGCGTGTTGTTTTCGTAACGCCAATTGGAGACACAACGCAATGAGCGCGTTGGGGGGGGGGGGGGGGGGGCACATTTGTCTACAACGCGGATGCGAATTGGATGCAACGCGATCGAGCGAACGGAACCACGTCGTGCACGCGAGTAGGAACAAGCGATCGTAACGGCTGCCCCGGCGTAGCATTGTCATCGTCATCGCGCAAGGCGTCGGGATGCTGCTGGATGCTTCTAGAGTCTCGACGCTACCCACGTGCTTCGATCTTCGTTAGGCCTGCGTCTCGCATAGCACGTGTTGTGCTTTACCCCCTATATTATATATTGTATATTACTAGTTCATGAAGGGGCTGTCTTCACCAAGCAAAAGTTTTTAATACGTATAATAGTGAACCTGAGGTGATTTCTTTACAAATATCTTTTTTCTAAAATATTAATTGTACATTGATCTACGATCAGACCGTTTAACTACTCCAAAAATGTGGTATTTTTCCAACAACAAACTAACGTAAAAAGTGTTGACAATTTGATTCAAACTCTTATTTTTAAAGCTGTAACCATAAAAAACACTCAATTAAAAGATTCCGTTCTATTTGTATTGGCAAGAACTAAAAGTAATGAACTTAATAGTCTACGAGGGGAATCTCTTCTATCTTTAAGCGTTTTCTAATTATTCAGAGGTGAACATCATAAAATGCAGATTTTTTTTTTGCTTAAAACCGCTTGCATCCGAAATATCTAAAACAAAAAAAACAGGAATCTTATATTTTGAACGGTTTCTGAATGACACCACGTGCACAAATGTGTTTTTCTGGGGCACTTGCGATCGAGATTTGGGGGCCTTAAAATGACACATCTCGGATTTTCAGAGTTCGCCCTGTTGTTGTGTCCTAAAAGCTACCCGTGAACCGAATTTCAGCCTTCTACCTTGTCGGGAAGTACCCTAGAGGTGTTTGAGACACACACTTACTAATTAAGGTCTTTAGGTATATATGTAAAGTAGTAACTCGGCGGGAGACGACTTCACGGGTAGCACACTCTTTTATTTCACCAACTTATAGTTACACGGGTGACTAACACCCACTTAGTTACACGGGTGACTAACACCCACTCAGCTACTCGGGTGACTAACACCCACTCAGCTACACGGGTGACTAACACCCACTTAGCTACTCGGGTGACTAACACCCACTCAGCTACACGGGTGACTAACACCCACTTAGCTACTCGGGTGACTAACACCCACTCAGCTACACTGACACGGGCTCTTATGCCCCGTAGCCTTCCGGAACACACCCGGCCGGGGTGTCCGTCTCGGCTCTGGGTACCACCGTCCCGACCCACACGGGCGTCGGACTACGGGTCCCCCAGTCTCGGCTCCGAGCCACACAGGGCCCCGGTCCTGACAAGGACGGCGGGACTAGGGGTCTCGGGCCACTACCTCCTCCACTCCGTCTTCGGTCTTCAACTGGTTAACAACCTCCTCGAGTGCTCTCGCGCGTCCCCCTTTATCCACCTCCTGCGGACGTCGCTGAGAGCACCCATCCTATTTGACCAATCACTGCGCGCCGGCTACGATCCTCTTTTCCCACCTTGTGTCAGCGCGCCTCACCACCGGCGCGCGCGTCCATACCACGCCCACATCGCGTGCCCAACCCCGCGCCCCGTGATCCATCACTGTCGGCGCACGTCAACACCACCACTACATATAGACAACGCGATTGTTCCATAATGCGGTTCTTCTTCAGGAACACAACTACTACCGAATTGTAGGAGAACAGACTGTACGGAATTTGTTTGCCATATTTACGCCGGCAGGGGGGCAAAGAGACTTCGCTGCACTAGATTCCTCTACTCACAGATTACCGCATGTGCATTTGCGACAGATGGACTCGTTCACTCACCGGTCACGAAAGTCTTTGCGGTGCTTTCAATGGTTTGACTTTGCAGAGATCCGGCAATGGCCACGATGATGACCGTGTAAATAGTGTTCGGCTTCAGTCGTTCAATTGTGGTGAACGTTGTATTGGTTGTTGTGCTCGATTGTAAGCCACTAAATTGATCGCCCCAAGGATATCTGATTATAAAGTAGAGGTTCTCATTTGAAATGCTGATGTTTTGCAACGGACTAGAGCCCTCAAACACCCGCAAAAAAAGATCAGTAATTACACCGATGGGGAGAGACCAATTGCAGTAAATATTCTCCGAGGAATTCTGGAAGCATTGAAATTCATGGACAGGAGCTGGATCTGTAAAAGGATACAGATATGTAACCATGATGATCATCATTGTACAATAAAAAAAAATGGAACTTCTATGTTCACGGTCGTCATGAAATATATTCCCATAAATATTAACTGCTCTGAAGTTCAGCGAATATTAAACATGCCGAATGTTGTACTTTATTAGATTAACTCCAGGATTTAACCCTGGGCCCATGTATATTCTTTGTTTTTTTTCGGTAAGCCGCTTTCCCACCGGAATGGAACCAGATGAAGAAACCAAAAGTAAAATAAATGTAGGCTCCACACAGGGCCACGCGGGAGGGCGTGCAGCACAGTTTGGTGCCGGCTATTGTAGAGTTGCGGCAGTCGTGTCGCTAGGGTTCTCTGTAGCAAGTAATACAAGCTTTAAAAACAACGGCACTGCTATTACGCCTCTCTCAATAAAATTAACGCACAGCCACCTTGCGCATTCCAAGATTCGGCAGTGATCGGGACATCCCGCAACCTGCAACTTGGCAGACGTCTCGGGAACGGGAGAAGGGTTAACGTTGCCAAGCTGATGACCTCCCATCAAAGTTGTGTGATGCTGCCGCCGCGAAGCCGCTCTGCAGGCGCCCCATCTACGACCTCGCCACCAGCAAGCGACGGGGCCGACACTGCATCCCTTTCACGACCCCCCACATAAACACACCCTCACACATTTCCCCCCCCTCCCCCCATAGAGCTCCGAGGGGAGGTCACATGGCCGACAGGTTTTCACCCAGAAGCCCTCTCATAGGGATAATCTTCACGGTTTCCTGCGGCCAGGGAATTGGGCGATCTCCCCCGATGCTAACTCGCACTGCGGCGCTGTGACTTGGGTTGAGATTACATGGTCACGGCGGGGCTACCCAGCCACCGTGGTTAAAACGCACCCCCACACACGGGTCGGCAGGCAGGTAGGGGGGTGCAGCCACGAACGGCAGGAAGCCAGGGTGGGCGTCTGATTGGCAGGGCGGGTGTGCTTGTGTACGGCCGCCGGCGCAGCAGCCAGCGGCGGGCCCTTTGATATGAAAACCGGGATGTGGACGGCGATGAGGGCGCCGAGTGCTGCGGCGCAAGACAAGCAAACCGATTGGCCGAGAAGGCCCTCGGATTAGCAACGGCTTTATTTGATGTGGGTTAACAATAAAAGGGGGACGCAGAAAGGTAAAAGGTCTCTTGCTTCTCGAGTCAGCCACCGGGGCGGTCGTCTCTTCAGGGCAGCTAATCGAGACGAGTCGAAGTGCTGCGAGGACAGGCGCACGGGAGCGGCGAACCGTGAGTAAGGGAGAGAGAGGGAGCCGGTATTCAGTGTAATAGCCAAAGAGGTTTAAGTCACAACCGACCGGGGTTCAAACCATCGGGAAAAATAGCCCGATGATGCTGGATGCAATTACCAGCGAAACGTCGTACTCAAATTGTAAATGTTGTGGCTTCAACACACCGGTGGGCTAAAGCAGTGAACTATTTGTCTTTTCGATTTAAAGCTTTCGTGACTGCAGGGATTCATCTTCTTGGTTCTTTCGGTAAAGTCACGTAGAAGGGAAGTAATAAAATAATAAAAATAAAACATAATAAAATAAAATAATTCTCACGACGTTTCGGCTACAACGCAAGCAGCCGTCTTCAGGTGAAGAATGAAACACTACCAAACTAGGAGCTTATATATAAGCTGCGTTGGGGGTGGAAGAGCGCCTTAACAAAAAGAATGTACATATGAAGAGGAATTTAGCATATTCATGGAAAATGTGTAGGCGTTGGGCAGGGGGGTTTCAAAGTCATATTATGCCCATGCATTATGCAGGATCAGCAGCACCAAGGGGGGGTGCAGGGATTAGCAGTAACAAAGGAAAGGAATGTTAATGATATGTAGCTGCAGTTACTCAACAACCACGTAGAAAACGAAAGTATAAACTACATAAAAAACTAAAGTATAAACTGCATAGCACCATCAGTATACTTACTATACTCTACAATAAGCTGAGTTACTAACAGCAAGTAATACATTACAATTCTACGTCGTAAAAATTCTATAATATGCTTCCATCTAAACTTTATTCTCTTACATCACACGAGCATATACCGTACTATATACTGCCATAGATAAACCCAACATTAAATTATATACTGTATTGCTGTCAACCAACCTATACCTTATACATTTTAATATAATACTATGTATTATTCTACACACCCTAATGTGTATCGAAATGGTTTATTACGTCCTTCCAATGATTGCTAAGCCAGAATCCATCTTCTCGGTTAAAATTGTCTCTGTGTTTGTATATGTGGATCGCCTCATGAACGAATCTCTCATGATAGCCAGATGGCTTGCAGAGAACCTCTGTCTTGGAGAAGTCAATATCATGTGAGCCCACTGAGTTGTAACAGTGATCTGCCACGGCTGAGGTGTTTGTCCTACCGTGTTTCAGGTCAGCTTTATGTTCACGGATGCGGTCCGAGACATGTCATTTGGTTTCCCCAATGTAACTGCTACCACAGAGGCAACTTAGTTTGTAGACGCCAGGGTACTGTATGTCTGGAACCACATCTTTTACAGACGGTACCAGATCACGGATTTTATGTACTGTGTTGAATCGGACCTGGATCTTGTGTTTAATCGGGATTTAGGAGATCTCTTTTGTGACCCCAGCAATGTAGGGTAAGGTGATGGTCTTGAAAGGCTCCTCAACAGGATCCTTCTTGATGGTTGGAGTGATGGCTTTGCGGATTGTGTAGTCGGAGTAACCATTAGCCTTAAGAGCTTGGCGTACGTGTTTGAGTTCACTGGCAATGTGTTCATGGTCGGAGATGCATTGGGCTCTATGATATAGAGTCTTGATGAGGGAATTCTTCTGGGATGGATGGTGGTGGGAATCCGGTTTTAGATAAGCATCCGTATGGGTGGCTTTCCTGTAGACAGAGTGGCTCATTGAACCATCAGGTCTCCTTTTGATTAGGACATCCAAAAAGTGTAGCTTGCCATCTTTTTCGACTTCCATGGTGAATCTGATGGCTGGGTGTATGGAGTTGATGTGGTCGAGAAATTGGTCTAAAGCAGCACGGCCATGTGGCCAGATGACAAAAGTGTCGTCTACGTACCTCTTCCATAAGGTCGGGCGTAGAGTGGCAGTCTGGATGGCGTCCGTCTCAAATTTCTCCATGAAGATGTTGGCTACAACCGGAGATAGGGGGGAGCCCATTGGGGTGCCCTCAGTTTGCTTGTAGAAAGTTTCATTCCAGGTGAAGTATGTATTGGTTAAGCAGTGTCTCACCAGGGGGGGTACCCCAGCATTCAGTCCATGATGAACCAAGTCTTCAATGATTGCGATGGTGTCAGGTACAGGAACCTTGGAGAATAAGGAAACCACATCAAAACTGACAAGCAGGTCGTCTGGGGACAGGGCAATCCTCTTGATTGTCGATACCAGGTCAGTAGAGTTTAGTACCGCAGAGGTGGTTTTTCCAGTGAAAGGCCGTAGGATTTCAGACAAAAAGCGAGCCAATTTATAGGTGGGGGAGTTGATAGTAGAGACAATGGGACGAAGAGGTGTATCTTCTTTATGTATCTTTGGCAAGCCGTATAATCTTGGTGGCCTGGCTGCAGAAGGTTTCAACGAGAACTGTTTGGTCTGATCAAATAATGCGGTTGAATCAGAAATGATTTGTTGGTTTTAGTGACGAGGCTGTTGGTGGGGTCTCTTTTTATTTTTGTATAGCTGCCATCGTTGAGTAGTTCTTGAATTTTGTTGTTGTATGCTATTTTGTCCATGATGACAGTGGCATTGCCTTTGTCGGCTGAGAGGATGACAATGTCATCCCTCTTTTTTAATTGAGCTAATTCAAAACGCTCATCTTTGCTGATGTTGCTAGCTGGCATCTTAGCGTTTTTGAGGGTTGCAGAGATTTCAGATCTTGCTACGTCTGCAGCGATGTGACTCAAGCCCTTGAGAGCTACATCTACTCGAGCAATAATATCATTAACTGGTATGTGTCTAGGTGTGACTGCAAGGTTTAGTCCTTTAGCTAAAACGGATTTCAGACCTTCAGAAATAGAACTGTTACTGCGATTAATTACGACTTTGTTAACATCTAGCTTTTCAGTGTGTGGGTCCGGTTTCTTGTTTGAGAGGCGGTTGAATTTGGAAATCAAGTTGTCCTTACATTTAGTCGACATAGCGGCAGCTGAAGAGGCAGTCATTTTTTCTACATGTTTCCAATCAGATGTGGACATTGTTGCACTCAAAGATAAGTGTGATTTGTAGAGTGTCTTGTCTAACTGATCTAGTTCGGTGCGCGTAAGTCTGATTTTCTCTGAGATGAGAGCTAAGCTAGTTCTAGACAGAATTCGTTTCGCATTAGAAGAACTTACAGCAGCAGATGTTAGTGTAAATGCGTTTGGTATTACCTTAGAGTCGCGGCATCTCTTCAGAAAGGTGAGAGACTCAATTAGCTGAGCCTTCTTATCACGGAGCTTGTTGAAGGATGTCAAAGTTATGTGGAAACCCTCCCCGTAGAGGCGGTTAAATTTCGATTTAAAGCTTTCGTGACTGCAGGGATTCATCTTCTTGGTTCTTTCGGTAAAGTCACGTAGAAGGGAAGTAATAAAATAATAAAAATAAAACATAATAAAATAAAATAATTCTCACGACGTTTCGGCTACAACGCAAGCAGCTGTCTTCAGGTGAAGAATGAGACACTACCAAACTAGGAGCTTATATATAAGCTGCGTTGGGGGTGGAAGAGCGCCTTAACAAAAAGAATGTGCATATGAAGAGGAATTTAGCATATTCATGGAAAATGCGTAGGCGTTGGGCGGGGGGGTTTCAAAGTCATATTATGCCCATGCATTATGCAGGATCAGCAGCACCAAGGGGGGGTGCAGGGATTATCAGTAACAAAGGAAAGGAATGTTAATGATATGTAGCTGCAGTTACTCAACAACCACGTAGAAAACGAAAGTATAAACTACATAAAAAACTAAAGTATAAACTGCATAGCACCATCAGTATACTTACGATACTCTACAATAAGCTGAGTTACTAACAGCAAGTAATACAATACAATTCTACGTCGTAAAAATTCTATAATATGCTTCCATCTAAACTTTATTCTCTTACATCACACGAGCATATACATAAAGAAGATACACCTCTTCGTCCCATTGTCTCTACTATCAACTCCCCCACCTATAAATTGGCTCGCTTTTTGTCTGAAATCCTACGGCCTTTCACTGGAAAAACCACCTCTGCGGTACTAAACTCTACTGACCTGGTATCGACAATCAAGGGGATTGCCCTGTCCCCAGACGACCTGCTTGTCAGTTTTGATGTGGTTTCCTTATTCACCAAGGTTCCTGTACCTGACACCATCGCAATCATTGAAGACTTGGTTCATCATGGACTGAATGCTGGGGTACCCCCCCTGGTGAGACACTGCTTAACCAATACATACTTCACCTGGAATGAAACTTTCTACAAGCAAACTGAGGGCACCCCAATGGGCTCCCCCCTATCTCCGGTTGTAGCCAACATCTTCATGGAGAAATTTGAGACGGACGCCATCCAGACTGCCACTCTATGCCCGACCTTATAGAAGAGGTACGTAGACGACACATTTGTCATCTGGCCACATGGCCGTGCTGCTCTAGACCAATTTCTCGACCACATCAACTCCATACACCCAGCCATCAGATTCACCATGGAAGTCGAAAAAGATGGCAAGCTACCCTTATTGGATGTCCTAATCAAAAGGAGACCTGATGGTTCAATGAGCCACTCTGTCTACAGGAAAGCCACCCATACGGATGCTTATCTAAAACCGGATTCCCACCACCATCCATCCCAGAAGAATTCCCTCATCAAGACTCTATATCATAGAGCCCAATGCATCTCCGACCATGAACACATTGCCAGTGAACTCAAACACGTACGCCAAGCTCTTAAGGCTAATGGTTACTCCGACTACACAATCCGCAAAGCCATCACTCCAACCATCAAGAAGGATCCTGTTGAGGAGCCTTTCAAGACCATCACCTTACCCTACATTGCTGGGGTCACAAAAAAGATCTCCAAAATCCTGATTAAACACAAGATCCAGGTCCGATTCAACACAGTACAAAAAATCCGTGATCTGGTACCGTCTGTAAAAGATGTGGTTCCAGACATACAGTACCCTGGCGTCTACAAACTAAGTTGCCTCTGTGGTAGCAGTTACATTGGGGAAACCAAACGACATGTCTCGGACCGCATCCGTGAACATAAAGCTGACCTGAAACACGGTAGGACAAACACCTCAGCCGTGGCAGATCACTGTTACAACTCAGTGGGCTCACATGATATTGACTTCTCCAAGACAGAGGTTCTCTGCAAGCCATCTGGCTATCATGAGAGATTCGTTCATGAGGCGATCCACATATACAAACACAGAGACAATTTTAACCGAGAAGATGGATTCTGGCTTAGCAATCATTGGAAGGACGTAATAAACCATTTCGATACACATTAGGGTGTGTAGAATAATACATAGTATTATATTAAAATGTATAAGGTATAGGTTGGTTTACAGCAATACAGTATATAATTTAATGTTGGGTTTATCTATGGCAGTATATAGTACGGTATATGCTCGTGTGATGTAAGAGAATAAAGTTTAGATGGAAGCATATTATAGAATTTTTACGACGTAGAATTGTATTGTATTACTTGCTGTTAGTAACTCAGCTTATTGTAGAGTATCGTAAGTATACTGATGGTGCTATGCAGTTTATACTTTAGTTTTTTATGTAGTTTATACTTTCGTTTTCTACGTGGTTGTTGAGTAACTGCAGCTACATATCATTAACATTCCTTTCCTTTGTTACTGCTAATCCCTGCACCCCCCCTTGGTGCTGCTGATCCTGCATAATGCATGGGCATAATATGACTTTGAAACCCCCCCGCCCAACGCCTACGCATTTTCCATGAATATGCTAAATTCCTCTTCATATGCACATTATTTTTGTTAAGGCGCTCTTCCACCCCCAACGCAGCTTATATATAAGCTCCTAGTTTGGTAGTGTCTCATTCTTCACCTGAAGACGGCTGCTTGCGTTGTAGCCGAAACGTCGTGAGAATTATTTTATTTTATTATGTTTTATTTTTATTATTTTATTACTTCCCTTCTACGTGACTTTACCGAAAGAACCAAGAAGATGTTTGTCTTTTGTCAACGTGACACTTGTTTTACTGATTGGCCGTGTCGGGTGGTGGAGGGTTACGACACATTTATAAATAACGCGATCTAAACCCAAAAACGTTGATTATGAATTGACATCTATGTTGTGCCAGCAGGTTAATTCGGCTCCGACGGATTGGGATTAACATGTCCTGGCGGCTTTGGCCGCTTATAGATTGCCCCCACACGCTTCTACAGGATATTCGCCCTTTTATCTGATTATGGGCATGAACCAGAAGCCCCGGCCTTGGTCAGGCTGGGTGTGAAATCTAAGAGCAAGTCGCCAGTGGTGGCTGTCCCCATGCACGAGTCATTGGATCGGTTGAACGAGGCCAGGGAGGCCTCGCTGCGGAATACGGGTTTCGCATGTCGCGTTGTTTTAGCCGGGATGGCTAGTTTTTTTCACGGGGGGGGGGGGGTGATGTTGGCCTTGAGTATAGCGCGCCACGCATCCCCCGCCTCTGTTGCTATGCAAGCAAGCACAGTACAATTGTGGCTTTAGGCGAAGTGGGTCATTAAGGGTTGAAACAGGTGTCAGGGTAGCCGGGAGGACACAGGCCTGTGATTGGTTGGAAAGGTAATTGGGCATTAGCTGACGTCGCTCCGGCGGCGAAAACAAGGCCACGTGACACGGGGGGCCAGGGGACGAGCGTGGGGATATAACCCAGAGCGCAACGGAGAGAAGGGAGTCCTGTACGAGTCGGCGTCGTGGATAGAGCTGCAGCAACGGTGCCTGGGGAGTCGCAGAGCAAGTGTGAGTAGAGTAAAGCGAAGAGAGACAGTGTTAGTAGAGTAAAGCGTGGAGAGACAGTGGTAGCGAGAATGCAGTGAGCAACCAGGGTAGCCATGTATCGGAAGGATGCAGAGTAGGAGAAACCGTAGAGACGACAAGCGTAGCGATAGTGAGGTAGAAAGACGCGGAGCGACGCGGAGCAGAGTGAGGGCACGGGGAGTCGCGGAGCTGTGGCACAGCAGAGAGACGCGGAGCGGAGCGAGGCCGCGCCGAGATGCGGAGCGGTAGCACGGCAAAGGTGGACTCTAAGAGGAAAATAAAGAGGAGAGAAAGACAACCCTTGTACGAGTCCTACATATTTGGCAATCTCAGCTGACCGATAAAATGCATCAATAACGAGTGCAGCATGACAGAAATGTAGTGGAATCTTAGTATAATGGGTGTAAAAGGTGGTACTTACAGGTTCTGACTGAGACTATATCTGACTCTTGGGAGTTGTTACCGCTGTGAGCAATAACGGATGCATAGTAATTCATGCCTTGAACCAGACCAGTAAAATTTGTGGAGGTAGGTGGCACGGTGAGGTAATGAATAAATGCATGATTGTAATTTGTTTCGGTTCCATTTAAGTAGACCATGTAGTTGTCAACATCTGAAGTCGGCGCTACCCATGAGACCGTCAGGACTGGAAAGACGATGTTGCCGTTGATGGTGATGCTGACTATGACTTTTGGAGGTACTGCAACGGCAAATACAATCGTGAGCTTTTCACCTCTGCTTTATAATGATGGTGACTCATGTTAAACTGTAATCATTTATTAAATTGCACTACATCTAAACATGTAGATAATTACTATTAAGTAATCAATCACACATGCATGCGTATGCTGTGTAAATGCAAAAGTGTGTAACAAATGTAATATTTTAAATTCTGGCAAATTATTTAATGTTGTCGATAATTAAGGGAATATGAAATAAATTTGTTAAATTTTGTCGATTTTTAAGCATGTATTACAACAAATATCAAAGATGACAGCGATTACGTGATGATGAACGCTGCATATACGTACAGGTCCTTGCATTGACGATGGCTGATGGTTGGGAGCCATTGCCACTGCGCGATGTTACAGATGCCTGGTAACTTCTACCAGGAACCAGATCTGTAAACACTTGTGTTGTAATTGCAGAGGTCAAATTGTAGCTCTTCACTGCTGCTGGGTTATTGGTTTCATTCAAGTAAACCGTATAGTAGTCAACGTCTACAGCAATAATTGGTGCCCATGAGACCGTCATGGCTGTAGAGTTGTTTATGCTGATGGTGACATTGACTGTTGGAGGCACTGCAACGGCAAAACAATCTTTAGACACGTACACATTTCAAGAGCTGCATTTGCCATAAACTAATGTCATTAAAGTAACACCACATCATATACAACGGTTGCTGTGATATGGACTTCCATTGGACTCGGACATCCTCCCGGTATTCCTGTGCCCTCCTGTTTTCATGAACATTTATTTTACAAACAAACTAAATCCTTCAATTACGTCAGAAAATCTCTTCAGCCTTCCGATTCCAGTAAACTTCGGTCTTCCACCTCTGCTTTACAATAATGGCGACTCACGGTATACTGTAATCATTTATCAATTTGTATTGAATTCTAAACATATTAATTGCTATTAAGTAATTAATGAAACACGCTCCTATGATGTGTAAATATAATACAAGCTTGCTCAAATAATTATTTTACTTAACCCTGGATATTCCCAATAACCGGATAAGGCCGGAGCCTGAATGAGTCTCGCTTCGAGAGATTATAATGAGGCTTAGCATCCCTCCAAAAGAGGGCACTAAATGTTTTTAGCAGGCTTCTGTCGAGCGGCATTGCATAAGCAGTCTAAAAGTAAGCTTTCACTACTAATGTTATGCAGAAAGTCACATTTTTTAGGGTTTGATCGCATAAATATAAATTTGTCGTAAACCCACCACCACCGACACAGCCAATTAGAAAGGTTTGTTAGGTAAGCAAAATGTTGCAGTTACTTCTTCAGTACAACGGTGTGTTGGAGATTAAACCAACAACATTTACAATTTTGCGTTTTGATGGTGATTGCAACCAGCTTCATCAGGCGATTTGTCCGAATTGTGAAGAAGTCTTCCTGTTTCGGTCTTAAATAGTGGAGTAAAGGTGATGTCATCACTGTGAGCATATCAGGTGCGACGACCAGAGTGGGGTTTATGTGTTCATATGAATTACAATAAATTAAGTTAATCTGGAACTCAGTACTCTACCTATTATCGGTTGGGTTAGTCACAGTTAATAAATATACTGTACAGTTGAATTATTTTTGTATTTAGTTTAGATTGTTGTCCTTCCCCGTACCTCCGATTAACATGGTTGGCTAAGTACGGTGCTATAAAAGTTCAACAAACATATCTAGAATACATATAAAATATACCGATGTTATTAACCGATTCACATAATCCAAAAGCACAGCGTTGGGGGCTTCCATTCTCTTTTTCTATGCTTGTAGATATTTTATGATGGAACATGTTTCATAATTATTTAACATATACAACACCTATTGATTTAATGTATCTCTATTATGAAATGTACAATTAATACTGGTAGGAACGAAGTGAACCAGCCTACAATAGATTATATCGTCCGTCCGTCCGATGTCCGATTAGGTGTAGCAACATCGCTCCCTACTGCAAACACTTGGCAGGACCCTACAAAAACCTTTAGACTCAGTGAGGCTTTCCTGGCTAAACAAGTGTAACATTCCCTTATAATTCCCTGAGATAGCTTTTAATTAAAACATTTAAATGAAAAATTCACTCACAGCAGCCTAAAGCCTACAGCTAGGCCTAAAGCCTAGAACTAGGCCTCAAACTCTCCCTTCGTATCGTACCCTCGCGTGTGTGAAAGGGAGTTAATGTTTAACAATGTTACATTCCCTGATGTTTTTTTAAATAGAAACATTTAAATTTAAGCTTTTACATAAATAATTAAAACATTTAAATTACAAATTAACTCACAGCGGCCTAACGCCTACAGCTAGGCCTAAAGCCTAGAACTAGGCCTCACACGCTCCCTTCGTATTGTCCGATTCGGTGTAGCAACATCGCCCCCTACTGCAAACACTTGGCAGGACCCTACAACAACCTTTAGACTCAGTGAGGCTTTCCTGGCTAAACAAGTGTAATAATACATTATGTGTATATTCTTTGGTTATTCTTTCCTACCAGCCCACCCCGTAGGGACCTGTTTCGATACTTTAAAAGTACGCAAACAAACATTAAAACATTCACTCTTGAAAATTACTTCATATGTTGTCGATCCTTCAAGATGTATTAATTACATTATTTAATGTTGTCAATAATTTGGGACACATTGAAAAGTGTATTAATACCATTGGAACCTCCTTTGCCAGTAGCAAAATATGATAATGTTTTTTTACCCTTTTATCTGGCAACAAAACTGACACCTTTTTTTTTTACAAGGAGTCATGTTTGCATTGACCACAATACCTGCGGTCGGAATGCAAATAAAAAAACACAACTATGATAATGTATGCATTGTCCTTGAAATTGATTGGTCCACACCCGAGACAGTTTTTTTGCATTCCGACCGCAGGTATTGTGGTCAATGCAAACATGACTCCTTGTAAAAAAGGTGTCAGTTTTGTTGCCAGATAAATGGGTAAAAAACCAATTATCATATTTTGCGACTGGCAAAGGAGGTTCCAATGGTATAAATGCTTACCCCGAGCTCTCATACTCTGATGGTGCATTGTCTTTGAGTTGTGCGCCTTTTGGCGTCATCTGGTCCAACACCATGTGAGACTAGGCTCTAAGAAAAGCTGTCTCGGGTGTGGACCAATCAACTTCAAGGACAGTGCATACATTATTAGAGTTGTGTTTTTTGGTTGCATTCAGACTGCAGGTATTGTGGTCAATGCAAACATGATTAATTGTAAAAAAAAGTTGTCAGTTTTGTTGCCTGATAAAAAGGTAAAAAAACAATTATCAAGTGTATTAATGTTGTCGATTTTTGAGCATGCTTGGAAAATATATCAAACATCAAACTGATTAAATGATGAACAGGTCCCTGCAGGGTGGGCTGGTAGGAACGAATAACCAAAGAATATAAACATAATGTATTATTACACTTGCTTAGCCAGGAAAGCCTCACTGAGTCTATAGGTAACATTGTTAAACATTAACTCCCTTTCACACACGCGGGGGTACGATACGAAGGGAGAGTTTGAGGCCTAGTTCTAGGCTTTAGGCCTAGCTGTAGGCTTTAGGCCGCTGTGAGTTAATTTTTTATTTAAATGTTTTAATTATTTATGTAAAAGCTTTATATTTAAATCTTTCTATTTAAAAACATCAGGGAGTTTAACATTGTTAAACATTAACTCCCTTTCACACACGCGGGGGTACGATACGAAGGGAGAGTTTGAGGCCTAGTTCTAGGCTTTAGGCCTAGCTGTAGGCTTTAGGCCGCTCTGAGTTAATTTTTTATTTTAATGTTTTAATTATTCATGTAAAAGCTTTAAATTTAAATGTTTCTATTTAAAAACATCACAGAATGTAACATTGTTAAACATTAAATCCCTTTCACACACGCGGGGGTACGATACGAAGGGAGAGTTTGAAGCCTAGTTCTAGGCTTTAGGCCGAGCTGTAGGCTTTAGGCCGCTGTGAGTTAATTTTTAATTTAAATGTTTTAATTAAAAGCTATCTCAGGGAATTATAAGGGAATGTTACACTTGTTTAGCCAGGAAAGCCTCACTGAGTCTAAAGGTTTTTGTAGGGTCCTGCCAAGTGTTTGCAGTAGGGGGCGATGTTGCTACACCTAATCGGACATCGGACGGACGGACGGACAGACGAACGATATAATCTATTGTAGGCTGGTTCACTTCGTTACTAGCAGTATAAACGCTCCCTATATACGTACAGGTCCTGGCAGTGAAGTTGGCTGATGGTTGGGAGTAACTGCCACTGCGCGCTGTTACAGATGCCTGGTAACTTCTACCAGGAACCAGATCTGTAAACACTTGTGTTGTAATGGCGGAGGTCAAATTGTAGCTCTTCACTGCTGCTGGGTTGTTGGTTTCATTCAAGTAGACCGTGTAGTAGTCAACGTCTACAGCAATAATAGGTGCCCATGAGACCGTCATGACTGTAGAGTTGTTGATGCTGATGGTGACATTGACTTTTGGAGGCACTGCAACGGCAAAAACAATATGTAGACACGTGCACATTTCAAGGGCAGTATTTGCCATAAACTAAAGTCATTAAAGTAACACCAAGTCAGATACAACGGTTGCTGTGATATGGACTTCCATTGGACTCGGACATCCTCGCGGCATTCGAGTGCTCTCCTGTTTTCATGAACATTTATTTTACAAATAAACTAAATCCTTCAATTACGTCAGAAAATCTCTTCAGCCTTCCAATTCCAGTAAACTTCGGTCTTCCACCTCTGCTTTACAATAATGGCGACTCACGGTACACTGTAATCATTTATCAATTTGTATTGAATGTTAAATATGTTAATTACTATGAAGTAATCCTATTATCTGTTGCGTTAGTCACCGGGAAATCAATATACTGTAGAGTGGAATGATTATTTTATTTAGTTTGCCGGACCTCTGATCAACATGGTTGGCTATATATGTAGCTAAGAAGTTCAACACATACCTAGAATATGCATAAAATATACCGATATTAGGAACAGATTAACGTAATCCATAAGCACAGGGTTGGACATTTTTTTTTGTAAAGCTTGTAGATGTTTTGTGACGAAACATGTTTGATAATTTTACATATACAACACCTGTTGATTTAATATGTCCCTATTAGCAAATGTACAATTGATTCGATACTTTAAAAGTACGCTACAAACATATGTGGTGCCACAGCGACGGGGCCGCTCTGCCGAGCCAGGGAGCTGCCCAGCTTCCACCACCGCACTGCCCCCCATCACCCCCCCCCACATAAGCACGCACCCGCACCCACGTAGGGCCTCGTGGTCGGGTCACCTACCCTGAGTTTTCACCCGAGGGCCCCCTCGGGGGGTTACCCCACGGTTTCTCAGGGCCAGGGAATTGGACAGGACCCTTCCCAGGCTAAGTAACACTGCGGCGCCGTGGGCGGATTTGAGATCGCACGACCACGGCGA